ACCAAAATACAAGCCCCTGAAACGCATCAGCTCTGAAACGAATAGCTACTTGAACACCTCTTGTAAGTTCCAGAAATGTGTCTGAAGATGGTGGTCATAGATCATCTCACTACTGTGCATCAGCATCATGGAACACATTGACATCATCACCCTCATCTTTCATGACTCATCTCAAAACACATCTCTTCAAACAACATTATCCAGTCAAGTTAGCTAATACATTTGTAGCGCCATTAGCGTTAACATGGTGAATGGAATCTGTTGCATTTTAAACAGAGTAAGTGATTGTTGTCAGCAAGATCAAGCTTAATCACGCCGGGCTGAAAGTAATGGAGTGTCGGTTTCAGAGATAAATTTTGCGTCCTTCCGTCGTTTTTCCGTTTGCAGAATTGTCGGCAGACATGCCAGGCCACCGAAGCCCAGTTCGTCACGGTTTATCTCTGACAAGAAGGCATACAGACATTGGACTAGCCCGCTAAGACCCTGACATGTCCCCAAAAGAGCATCTGTGGGATGTTCACAGGCAGAGAGTGTACGCCAGAGACCCACGCCCGCCAACGTGGCCTAGCTTGAGGTAGCTCTTCAGATGTAATGGCGGGCAATACCTAAGGCATCTTCCCGAGGCAAGGAGTTAACTGACTTTGGAAGTCCAGTTTCCACCCTTGCCGAACTAGGCTTGAATTCCTGGGCTCGATCGTAGCGCCACCAATGGTAATTACGAGTTGTGTTCCTTTTAAGCCTCTCCTATGGACCAATCAGATTCCACCTCTCGTATCACTTGCATTTGTTTCAAACAAAACGGCGGCGCCCAGTCAAGCCTCCTGATCGATAATCAAGACCTATATTGTGATAAAACGGGTCTTACATCGCGAAGTGCATCAAATCAAGAGAGCACCTTGATTAGAAACATGAAAAGACTTGGAAATTATCTGTTGACAACGCGTTGGCGGTGCACATGTTTTGCACATCCTGCAATCGATCGAAATCTGCACGACAGTTTACTAACCGGATTTCGATTTCCATGCGCGATTTTGATTGGACTATGCATAGACTCGTTAGTCCAGCCAAAATGTAACTCCGTAATTCCTGCCTTGTTCGGCAAGGGTGAAAACTGGACTTTCATAGTCAGTAAACTCCCTTGCCTCGGGAAGATGTATCTAAGGTCAACCATACGCAAGTTAATCAACAGTGTGTCATCAAGATGACGAGCATGTATCGCCCAACATGGTGGACACACCAGATGTTGATCTACACGCCCGAAATTAGTATTTATCTATCAGCATTACACCGTCACTATCATTTCATCAATTCCCTTATTTTTTGTTTAAAGTATATTATGTTTCTCTTTAGTATGGAAACGGCCTGTTCTTGAAATTCAACCATTTTGCTAAGACTTTGGAATGATATCAAGATAAATTCCAACATTTTACAAGACAAATACAGTACTTTCCACTGATATTTAGTAAAGGATGTTTAACAATGTATTTGTATCAATTTCCACAAATTGCATCATTATACCACTCAAAATAACAAAAAAAACTTATTGATAAATAAGCTCGTAATTCTGAAGACCAAATAGCATTTTCAATGAGCTATGGTTCTCGGATTTTCCTAAAGTTTAACTTGAAATCTTTCTGAAACAGAATCACGGTTTGGGAGCATGGTAATATCCATACAACACAAGGCCTAATCTTCTTCAAACAAGACACGCCAATCTTCTTACAACCTAAATTACGAACCTCAATTGAGGAGCTTAAGTCGATGACAGGGTCGACTGAGACACTCAGTGCGCAACACGCTTCCTTCTATCTCATCTGTCCATGGCGACCTATCTTGTATCAATAACAACACAACAACCCTTTGTATTTCATCCCTTTCTATTTCAGATTGCACCAGTGTAAATCGGAATAAAAACACTTTCACATAATCCCTAGTGATTTGTGTCCGATCCTGGATTTCGGGGCTTTAAACGTGGTAGATATCTTGCTGACATACCACAGACCTGACAGCCCTTAATGCAAGGTTGTGATAAGGAAGATTAAGTATATCATAACGGATACACTTTGTATCAGTGCAAATAGTGTTGTCCCTTAATAGCCCAATATATCTATTTTGGTGTCAGAAAATGTTCTTAATACATTCTTTATAAGGTCGTGTGGTTCAGTGTTTCAGATTCAAGTAACATGTTTCCTTTAATATAAACGTATCTAATTGTGACCCCCCCCCCCCCCCCCCCCCCCCCCAAGGATTGTAAACTTTTAAGCTCTTTAGTTTCAGAGGAATGGTCTCCTTGGTAACAGGTCATACAAATTTAAATATTCGATTTTCTGATCCGCCTATATCATAGAGAAGTGGCATTCCGCCTGGGCTGTTAACGAAAGAGACAAAACCCTTTCCATAATTACAAGAAATCCTGCTTAAAGCAACGTCCTCTGTACGATTCCAACTTTGTCAAAAAACAAAAAACAAAAACTAAAACCAAATAAGTATATTTATAATGTCAACAATAATCAATCTAGATTATCTGTCGAATCAAATTCCTTTCGGCGTAAGAGGCAAATTAGTGGTGATAATATGAAATGTCTGCAATGAAATTTAACTTTCTTAAACTAATCTAGTTCATCAGAGAAAGGGACGTCGCTTTGTCCCCTGTATCACACCCTTCTTTCTGGTACCCATATTTATTCTCCCTTTTGAACCGACTATGCTCTTATGAGATAAATCTAAAATATAGAAATATAGTTTTAAAATTCTTTCTTTTACTTTATTTTGGTAAAGAAATCCTAGTGATAGAAAAAACGTCATCGCCAGAAAATAACCTCGATTATCCGACATAACAAGATTCCTTTGAACGTATAAGGCAAAATGGCGCTGAAAAGTTCATACTCGAATATTATATAAACTGCAGGGCTAAAGGACGCATTCACCTACATACATGTTTGATGGTGGCTAAAAATCTAAAAAATGAAGACAACAAGAATTGGTTTTTCGATGGTGATGTATTTGACACGGATATTACATGCATCATATCAATGACTCTCTCACAACAGGTGACGTCATATGACGTCTCAAGGAACAAGGGGGGCGCAATTTCACAGTGTCAATTTTCAAGTGTTTACTTTATTTATGCCCGGCAGTATACTATAGTGTTATTGTTGCTCTTACTACAACGCTAACATCGTGTGTATCACCAACCACCAAACCATACATGTATTTATTTATTGCTTAAATGAGAGCAAACATAAACATTTAGAGTTTATAAATGTCGTATAATTTGCTGAGACACGCGTTGGGTTACTTGAGTCACGTAAACGGAGTAACAATACATGGTCCATAGTGTCTGTGCTTGAATAGTCACATCACGAAAAAAAAACCCCAGAAAAATATATAGAAATAAATTTTTCATAATGTGAACAGCATAAACTGTTACGTAATCGGAATCAGTAGGCAACACATATTGGCATTTTGTATTCAGTACTAATATTCACATAAAACATCGTATATTGTCGTACTGGTATTTGTATACTGAGTGATTGTAGCATGCAATAAATGACCAAGGTAAGAATATCAAATTTGCAACGTTATAATCAACCACAACGGCAATTTATGGTCAACTAACACAAATGTTGAAACCAAAACTCATCTGAATTGAGCTTTATTACCACCGACTTCGTGTACGTTTTGTCACAGAGAACCATTACAGCTTATACTGTGGGTAGATTATAGGTGCTCGACACGGAACACCAGAGGCGGAAACAAAGGGGAGAAATGCAACCACCCTGCCTGACTCCGAAACCACATGATACAGTAACACTGGGCTGAAACGTTACATATCACTGTCCATACCACGGCTAGACAATATACCGAGCAGCCTCTCATCTATGAGTTGTTTAAAGGTTATTTGGCTTTAAAATAATTTGTCTTATTGTTTTCTCCGGCCATGCGTGCGTTCTGTGTCTCGTCACAATGGCCTTAGTCTCCGTAAAACAATATAGCAAAATCAGCAGGCGTTATTACGTTCAATACAAAATGTTAAGGAACACACGTATTTTTCTGAACTTAAATTAATAGCACGGTTAAGAATTAATTTGGCTGAAAATGACTTCCATTGAATTATTCATTTGGTCTACAGATCCTATGTGGACATTACAAGAAAACAAATATTTTAGTCGTTGTTCAACGGATATTACCTACTTAGGTTTAAAACCGTAAAAAGTTCACAGGACTAACCGATACTGACTTCTCTTTGTCAATTCTCGAAAATCTTTCAATGTATTTATCCATTTATTTTTGTTGTTAAAAGTACATTTAAACTCAAACGTCAAAGGAATATATATATTCATCCATTTCATAAACACCCGGTGTCAACTTATTTTTTACGATTTCAAAGATGTTCATACATTAGGGGAAAGAGTGAGTGGGTGAGTGAGCATGGCTCTACTCCAATTTTAACATTAATCCAGAACGTTTACGTTGGTACAATCACCAAGACAGCTGAATACTGTGTACCCATGTGGGGAATCGAACAGGGAGAACACTTTAACCACATGGCCAATACACCTGGGCCATTCCACAGAGCTACCATAGTGCTATACAACGACCATACTATGCGCGTTAAGATAGCTTTGTGGTACTGGGCTCAGATCTTATTTATAGACTGCGGACTGGTATTGTAAAACATGGGGAAGACACATCACATCACATCAACCTGGACAGTTGATATGGTTATATAACATATAAATATTTCACTATCTGTGGTCCACGTAATGTTACAAACAGAGCCGATTAACCTCACATCGTAACAAGAAAGTACTTAAATAAATGACACATGAATTAAAATCGATACATAAAGCAACACTGAGGATCCCCAGCGTTACAACAATAGTTGGTACAGGTAACCACTGTAAGTATTTATTACATACCATGTAATCTAAGTTATGCAAACTATGTAAGCGCTAATTACATGTACACCGAACTAGGAATACAACGGTACTACTCACCTGAGGCTGTAGATGGCTTTGTGTTGTGGGTATGGTACTTGGGTTCCCGAGGGATTAATGCGGACGGTCCGTTCTCGTGAATGTCCCCCTTTCTAAACAATTTATGCAAGACCGTCATTGACTTGCCAGTTCAGGTGGAAAGCAATGCACTTGATATCGAGATTTCCGATAGCTAGACTTGCCTGGCGCCCATGAAGAAGTAGAGTATGTGTGTGTCGGTTGTACTGTTGATGATGATAGATAGACGATAACCGTTTACCTCGCCGGTTGTTATCGTGTTCGGAAAGGTGTACTGGTGGCTCAGAGTGTCTGCCGTGCCAGGATTTGCTTGTCGTGGGTTCGAATCCCGAATATGATTTTTGGTCTGTCTGTACCATGCCTGTTTCACAAAAGGTGTAAATATCTAAATCATTTCGGTTTTCCACACAAACAAGTAGAGTCGTCGTGATGTATCTGAAATACTGACGAAAACGGCGTTTCACTAACTCACTCACTCACCCACCCATCTGAGAGCTTCAGCTTTGAACGACAAACACATAGACCATTGTTTATGGGTCTCGGTGACATTTGTCAATACATTTGTGTGACGTGAAACCTTTTGAATGCAATGCAACATTATATGGGCAAACTTCTGTGATACACTATGGGCACGATTGTGTCGATAAACGTATAAATCGACATATATACAATGAGCCATTGACTTCTAAATAACGATGTTGTATTTTCTGCTGTAGGAGAGCGCTCTGGCTGGTACGCTCGGCCTGTTTTACCTACCTATCTCAAGCAGTGAGTACGCCGCACTCAGCAATATTCCAGCTATATGACGGCGGTCTGTAAATAATCGAGTCTGGACCAGACAATCCAGTGATTGACATCATGAGCATCGATCCACGCAACCGGAATACGATGACATGTATCAACCATGTCAGCGAGCCTGACCACCCGATCCCGTTAGTCGCCTATTACGACAAGCATAGTCACCTTTTACGGCAAGCACGGGTTGCTGAAGACCTATTCTACACCGGCTCTTCACGGGTCCAGTGATATTACATGATTTCACTGTAAATAGCATATAGACCAATAAAGCTCTTTTTTTGGTTAATAGAAATTAGGAATACAAGTTGACATCGATCCAGATTTATTTAACGGCCACTGCTGCCAGATTTTGTTTTACAATCTGGCAGTCACGTGAACTTGAGAAACTAGCTACTCCAGTGTCAATATGGATTCCTTCAAGTGCCGACCAAGATGGTGGAATGATCAGGAGGTGAGCTGTGTAAGATCGTTTCCAGGGGAGACTGTAGGCAAGTCTAGCACACTTCTCCGTTTGTGTGATTGACTACTATGCACTGCTCGAGGTACAGCGTTCTGGATACACATATTTGAAGTCAACCTGAACGATCCTGTCAACAAGTCAACGTCACCACACCGCTCTCCCCATATCACAACACCACGCTCACATTTATCTGGAACTTAAAACCATTTATATATTTCCCTCACACAACAACTTCATAGAAATACCGCTGTCTCTGGGAGCGCCACCCTCGAGATGAGAGTCGCTACGCCATGTGGCTAAACGGCTACTTAAAACATGCCTTTGTAAAACAAATTCGCACTTGAAAGACCTTTTTAATGTTCATTAACAATAATCCACAATATTCAACAAACACACAAAGGAAGGGCACATTCCTTTACAGCCACTGTTGTCAACATATACGTCAATACGTGCATTGTCGTGTATTGATGTAATACGATTCTTCGTTCTATTTGAATATATACGTAGCCCAACTAAAGTACCTCCTGTGATAAAACACTTTTAACAAATACAGTACAACACAAAAAAAGATCCATTTAGACATATTATACCTTCTATTAATTTGACACAAATAGTGAGTGAGTATGGTTTTACGCCGCTTTTAGCAATTTTCCAGCAATATCACGGCGGGGGACACCAGAAATGGGCTTCACACATTGTACCCATGTCGGGAATCGAACCCGGGTCTTCGGCGTGACGAGCGAACGCTTTAACCACTAGGCTACCCGACCGCCCCTTGACAAATCAAATATAATTATCACTCGCGTTTGAAGGATGAAATGTGATAACTCAGTTAACATCTTCTAAACACATACATATCTAACTGGATGGGTAGTTTGAGTGAGAGAATATGGTTTTACGCCGTTTTTAGCAATATTCCAGCAATATCACGAAATGGGCTTCACAGATTGTACCCATGTTGGGAATCGAACCCGGGTCTTCGGCGTGACGAGAGAACGCTTTAAGTACTAGGCTACCGCACCGCCCCCGATGGGTAGTTTGAATGTCATACGATAACTTGCAAGGAACTCTTTTAAAATCTAGGGTTAGCACAGTGGTTAAAGCGTTCGCTCGTCACACGGAAGGTCCAGGTTCGAAGGGCCAGAGTGAGTTTGAGCTGCTCTGATCTGTATTTATGAAGCATCATGACGTGGCAGCTTAATGTAACAGAGAAGTCCTAACTAACTTACCTTGGTCTTAGACGTTTACTACGTGTAATCAGTGACAATTGGGTGCTGTCAAACCAAGGGTAGAACCCACAATAAGCGGGTTCTGGTATAGCTGGAACACAATAGACCACAGGGCCACCCTTGAACCTTGATAGACAGATGAGTGAGTGATAAAATACAACCAATATATGAACAATGTTACTAGGCAAGAATCTAGTATCTCTTCCATTGTACAGGAAGTAATGTTGCTTGGATCAATACCATACAGATAACAGCGCCGTTTATGTAACGCCACCAGTATAACATTTTATGTTTGGGAAAATAGTTGAAAGTTTATTCGCACAAGGGGGCCTGGGTGGCCCAGTCGTCTACAGTGTCGCAATTCGAGAGTTGCGTCCCTTAGGCACGCAGGAAACCTATTCCAAATTCGCCGTGTTAATAATTCTTAGTTTGTCAGCACCATTCCATACTCGTGGGTTTCACCAAAGTGTTAAACGTCTAAGACCTACATCACTTCGAGCTCTCGTCCTAGGTTAAGGGGGGCACGGGTGGCCCAGTCGTCGCAATTCGCTGTGCAGAATTGCGTCCCTTGGGCACGCCAGAAACCTATGATTGTGGGTTCGAATCCCGGTTCGCCCCGATTATGTTTCTAGGTTTGTCAGCACCATACCCGTGTTTGTGGGTTTCACCGAAGTGGTAAGCGTCCGAGACCTGCATCACTTCGGGCTTTCCTCCCACATTAAGCTGACACGCCGTGATATAACTGGAATACTGTTAAAAGCGACGTTAAACCCAACTCACTCACTCACTCCTAGGTTAAGCTAACACGTGGGCTATAATTGAAAGTGCACTGAACTCAACTCACTCACTTATTCAGTCACCACAAAAATCAGTTGCAGATGTTCAAATTGAATTTCATTTCCGTATCATTAATATCATATATATACTGTTATGTATCATATTATCAATTACTAAAATGCAGATGACCACAATTGTGTCGAATTGGCGGTTGTGTCGAACTGATTTAATAAGTCAGATTATTCTGGTGTTGTGAATGACGTTGACAATGTGTTTTCGGGGGTGTCGAACACTTCAATAGGTAGAACTCTTTTCGGTTCCCTTCAAGTTTGACACAAAGGTGTTCAACAGTACGTGCGAAATCTAGTATTTGACATATTTGTATATGATATTTTAATTATTGCGCCCCAGACTGAAATGGAAGGTCGTACTTTAGAGATATGCTCTGGAGTAAATGATTAAACATGGTTTCAGCAAACTCCCATCTTCCCGAGGCAAGAGCGCCAATTAGCCTTTTCTTCTCATTGAAGTCTTGATTCCACCCTTGCCACATCACGCCCAGTTACCTCGGCTAAATATGATTGGACTATCGGACATATCTATAGTCCAATAAGAGAACGTCTCACAAATTCAACTGGTACGTATTCGTATTAAAGTGTTTTGCCGCTGCCAGTCTTTGACACAAATATGTCTTTTTTATCTTTTAAACTCCTCAACGGTTGCCTGTGTTTGTCTGTCAGGAATGAAATCGCGAATGTTTCGTTACTGATCGACTTGATCGTCGTCTATGGTAGTCGCCATCTTTGTTAGGCCATGCGAGATAAGAACAGCGATCTGATTGGATAACGCGTTTTCATTACAAGGGGCACAACTCGTGATCTACGCGAGGTGGCGCCAGGATCGAGCCAAGAGAGCTGAGCTTGACGTGGCAAGAGTATAAAACTAGGCTTTGATATAGGCTAGTAGACGAACTTGCCTCGGGAAGATGGCAGCATCACAGCAATATTACGGCGGTGACAGCAAGAATATTATACCCATGTTGGGTTATCGGCGTGACAAGCGAGAATCTCTGTTTTATGAGAAATACATACATCACATTGCTGTAAATAAAGTAAAGTACGACACAATTACAGAGCTAGTTATGTAGGAAAAGCAGGTACAGCGTTTATTGGATGTCCCTCTTCCCCATTGTCAGCATCAGTTGAACCATGTGACCCAGCTGCTGCACGTCATGGGAGGGGTTGTTCCCGTCCTTAATGGGGGTCATCTCATCACTGATGCCTACCTGAGTCATCATCTGTAAATGGGAATGTTACACTGTTCATCTGTAAATGGGAATGTTACACTGTAAATGGGAATGCTACACTGTAAATGGGAATGCTACACTGTAAATGGGAATGTTACACTGTAAATGGGAATGTTACACTGTAAATGGGAATGTTACACTGCAAATGGGAATGTTACACTGTAAATGGGAATGTTACACTGTAAATGGGAATGCTACACTGTAAATGGGAATGCTACACTGCAAATGGGAATGTTACATTGCAAATGGGAATGTTACACTGTCAATGGGAATGTTACACTGTAAATGGGAATGTTACACTGTAAATGGGAATGTTACATTGCAAAACGTGATGCGATCCTTAACACAAGTACTTTCCGTAAAATCGATTTGAGACCTAAACATGTTTAAAATAATGTATAAAATCTAAACATATTTAGTATTTAAACGAGAAACACGTTCATATCCTCTGTTAAGAACTTTTCCTGGTATAGTTGAACTGGGATGGTACAGAAGACATACAACCAGTTGAAGTGTTATAAAATGAAAACCACGAAGGCCCAAGTGAAACAAATGCCACTCAAATACCTCTTTAAAACCCGTGACTCAAAGCAAAATGGAAACAAAAATTATTCATAGAATCCAGTATTTAATGTGCAAAAATATATAGAGGAGCAAAAGAAACTATACCTCTCAGTTGATTTATCATATGACATTATCTTCAGTTAGCTATAGTATATCAAAAAATGAACTGGACTGGTGCTAATTCAGCAATTTTAAAGATTTCTTTTCAAACTTAACTAAAACTTTAAAATGATTTTTTAAATTTAATACACACATGTTGATGGGTAGCTAGGACATATTGCTTTTTTCGGCACAAATTAAAAAAAATCAAACGTTAGGCGTCATGTGGTTGCAAATATATTTATTACCCCAGTGTTCATTGAACAAATTTATTTTCACACAAAACAACCTCAAGGCCCGTATTTGCTGAAATACTGCATAAAGCGGCGTAAAACCCAACTCACTCTCTCACTCACGAAGGCTGGTCATGAATGGTATACGACAGTATATCTGCTGTAAAACAATTACATACTTCCAGTGCACATACAAGAGGTAGGTAATAATATAAAATACAAAGATTAAGTATATTCTCTACTTTTTCGTGAACATGTTTAAGTTCTAAACACGTTTAGATTAGGTTAAGATGTTAAGCTTCAAAATAAGTACATGCATAATCAATAGTACTGTATGCAACATACAGAGGGCATAGGTGGTTCTGTCGTCTAAGCGCCGCAATTCGCTATACAGAGTTGCGTCCCTTGGGCACGCCAGAAACATATGACCATAGGTTCGAATCCCGGTTCTCCCCGATTATGTTTCTATGTTTGTCAGCACTGTATCCGTGCTTGTGGTTTCATCAAAGTGGTAAACGTCTGAGACATGCATCACTTCAAGCGTTCCTCCCACATTAAGCTGTCACGCCGTTAAATAGTGTTCAAAGCGGCGTTAAACCCAACTCACTCAATCCCATGACAGAGCTATACTCACCCCTTGTTTATAGAAGATGACTACACTATCCTCGGATAGACTGGTACAGGCAAGATGGTGACTGTGCATCACCTCCAGTGACCTCGTCACCCCCTGACAGATATACAACATCTCGGTGACGTCAAGTCCTGCCAAGATGGCCGTCCTCAAACTCACAGCGCCGTCTGGCGTCTTCACGGCGTCAGCATCAGATGGCTGCCGACCACGGTGACGTCGTCGGGAGATACTGCGACTTTCAGAGATGCGGGTTGCTGAGGAGGGTGATTCATAATTTTGGTTTGAGAAAAAAATGTTTAAGAATAAGAATTATGAATACAAAATGACAATAATAGTGGATATGTTTGGCCATTCCAAAGACATGTAAAACATGAGTCACTCATTTAGGGAAAAACCTTATAATTGTAATATACCGAAAAGGTGAGTGAGTGAGTGAGTGAGTGTATGAGTGAGTAGGATTTTACGCCGCTTTGAGCAATATTCCAGCAATGTCAGGGCGGGGGACAAAAGAAATGGGCTTCTCACATTGTACCCATTTCGGGAATTGAACCCTGGTCTCCGCGTGACGAGCGAACGCTTTAACCACTAGGCTGCCCGACCTCCCCTATACCGAAAAGCAAAAGTAACTGCGACCATATAAATATATTGCTTACTGACCGTTAATACTTATAATGGTTTGTACTTTTATGCTTTTCACATGGTACTCTTTCTTGCTATTGTTTCAGTGTGAAGTAGGGTAACAACGAAAGTTATACCTCAGATTCACTTCCTCTGTCAAACTATAGCACTAGATCTAACGGGGAATGGAAATTATTTTTACATATCTTGTGTACAGAACACACACATTGCTGGGCAGAAGTTATATTCTTTAAATGTACATTCTAAAATACTTCTTAAGAAAACCTAAAAAACACCGGCACACTTGTGTGTGGTTTGTTTGATGTTTAACGCCGCACTCAGCAATATTCCAGCTATATGACGGCGGTCTCTAAATAAATGTGTCTGGACCAGACAATTCATTGATTGGCATCATGAGCATCGATCTACACAATTGGGATACGATGACATGCATCAACCAAGTCAGCGAGCCTGTCTACCCGATCCCGTTAGTCGCCTCCGACAAGCATGGGTTTGTGTCATTTAATACTATATAATCCAAAACAGTTTTCGAGTTTATAATTGAGGCAATATTTACAGTCATTGGCTGAGGACAAGGGGTTGGATCGTCCACTGCCCAACACTCCCCTCACGATCTGTAACAGAAGTGAAAAAAACGGAAAACACTGAACCTGAAAATCATGCTGTTGATGTTGAAACCAATACAAGCCGCATTGCAAATGCAAGAAAAAAGCTGATCAAGTCTTTAAAAGGAAGTTAGAAGTGATGTAGTAGAGTGAGTGAGTGAGTTGGGTTTAACGCCGCTTTTAACAGTATTACAGTTATATCACGGCGTGTCAGCTTAATGTGGGAGGAAAGCCCGAAGTGATGCGAGTCTCAGACGTTTACCACTTCCGTGAAACCCACGAGCACGGGCATAGTGCTGACAAACCTAGAAATATAATCGGGGCGAACCGGGATTCGAACCCACAATCATAGGTTTCTGGCATGCCCAAGGGACGCAACTCTGCACAGCGAATCGCGGCGCCTTAGACTGGGTCACCCGTGCCCCCTTGATGTAGTGGAGAGATGGCCGCCCTCCTCTTCGATATTCGGGGATGGGGGTCTGTGTTTTTTCGAAATTTTCCCCGTAAACTCTTGAAAAAATATTGGCTCATAGTTTTAATAACGCCCCGCCCCCAACCCGAATAAACGTCGCGTCCAAGGTTATGTCTGCTTGTACTAGGCCGGACTGACGCAGTTCAACATGAACACACCACTCAGACACAGTATACTGACTCCGAGCCGACCAGTCCTTGTTTTATCCCCTTCATGCCGAGCGCCAAACGGGTAACAACAAGTACCATCTTTTAACGTCTTTTGGTATGACGCGTCCGGGGATCGAATCCCGGACCTTCGGCTCTCCGGGTGGACGCCCTACCACTAGACCACGGAGGCTGTCGAATATCAAAAGGACGGTCCATAATGTTCTGTATTCGTATTCCTCCCACATTAAGCTGACACGCCGCGATATAACTGGAATACTGTTAAAAGCGGCGTTAAACCCAACTCACCCACTCACTCACTCACTCACTCACTCACTCACTGTATTCATAATCTGCTCATTTAGATTTAGATGTGATCATATATCAATATTTGAGTTAGCATTATGAAGTCGACAATGCCAAGCCAAGTCATGTAGTTGATAATATTCTAAAATATGCACGATTTAACATTCAGACTGTGCCTATTGTCACAGTTAACTTCCCATATATATGGTATATACATACAAACTTAATTGCTGTACAAGAGCTTCATGTCAGTATTTAAAAGAGAACCAAACATTTGGATAAAAGAATAAACCCAATACAAATATGGAATGTACTGTTTTGTAAACAAAACGGACAAACCCCTTTCCATATTTATAAGACATAAGAATGTATCAAGAACATGAGTTTATGAATCACTACGAAATAGTGATGATTCTAGACGTTCGCGGAAAGGTGAGCGTATCCTGCCGACCGGCGACACCCGTTACAAACACATGCAAAGACAAGTCAATTGTTCACTTGACAAAACACACGGAAACAAATGGTACAAGTCAAAACAGGGAATTTTTGTCACTTATGTTGCATTTGGAAATGTCCTCATGTCTACCACAAAACTAAGTCATTATTCACAGATTGACAGACAAGTGAGTGAGTGAGTGAGTGAGTTGGGTTTAACGCCGCTTTTAACAGTATTCCAGTTATATCGCAGCGTGTCAGTTCAATGTTGGAGGAAATCCCGAAGTGATGCAGGTCTCAGTCGTTTACCACTTCGGTAAAACCCAAGAGAACGGGTATGGTGCTGACAAACCTAGAAACATAATCGGGACAAACCGGGATTCGATCCCACAATCATAGGTTTCTGGCGTGCCCAAGGGACGCAACTCTGCACAGCGAAATGCGGCGCCTTAGGAGACTGGGCCAACCGTGCCCCCTGGACAGACACTACAATGTTTACTGCAAATCATATGAAAGTCATGAATCCATAGTTTCGGCAATAGGGTGTTTCGTAGATATCATATAGTTATGTTGTAGTAGCTCACAGGGCCACAAATAATAAGTCATCCACGTATTGTTAATCTGTACACGTATGATAACACGATGACCATCTTCCCGAGGCAAGGGAGTTAACTGACTTTAAAAGTCCAGTTTCCACCCTTGCCGAACTCGGCTGGAATTCCTGGGCTCAATCGTAGCGCTACCCGTGGTTATTACGAGTTATGTCCCTTCTATGCCTCTCGTACCTCTCGTACCTCTCGTATCACTTGCATTTGCTTCAAACAAAATGGCGGCGCCGGTCAAGAAGATCTGATTGATAATCAAGGTCTATAGTGTGATAAAACGGGTCTTTCATCGCGAAATGCATCAAATCATGTGAGCACCTTGATTAAAAACATGGAAAGGTTTCGAAAATATCTGTTGACAACGAGTTGGCGGTGCACATGCTTTGCAAATCCTGCAATCAACCGAAATCTGCACGACAGTTTACGAACCGGATTTCGATTTCGTTACGCGATTTTGATTCGACTATACATAGACTCGTTTGTCCAGCCAAAATGTAATTCCATAATACCAGCCTAGTTCGGCAAGGGTGGAAACTGGACTTTTATAGTCAGTTAACTCTCTTGCCTTGGGAAGATACATGATGCCATGCCATTCGGGAGAACTTGAGGTTTTCCTTGTTGACGGTGCATCCAGTATTACATGCATCAAAATATCTATTTACATTTATTTATTACATATATCTATCATTAACGTTTTCCGTTAAACTTATTGATCATTCTACAAATGATGCACAAATGCACTGTAGAGAATATGTCGAAAAAAATAACATGTTTCAGAGGGTTGACGTGAGTAACAAAATGTAGGCGTGTGTGTCCCTACGGTTCATCTGATTGGTTAATCATGATTAACAGGTTGATTGACAGGTGGGGATAGCTTAATGACCCACCTTCCTCCTAAGGTTTGTGGAGGTAGCCGATGACAGGGTGTAGAGGAGGGGGTTGAGGGCGGAGTTGATGGGGAGGATGAAGGCTGCCGTCCATGTGTACACCTCTCCGGGGATCACGTGACCTCGCATCGCCATCAGGCCTAGCAGAAAGAACAAGACAGAGCTGTGGTAGTATTTGAGATGGGTGAGTGAGAGAATGCATTGGCCACTCCATGGGCAAGTGACATGTATAGCATGCCTGGCATTGAACATGAGCCAAGATCACAAAGCGATCTGAGTGGTACGATTTCCGTCAGTCATAGTAATAGAGTTATAGGACCTTTGTGCCAGCGGGCCCAGTTTCACAAAAGCAACAATTGTGGTAAGACAGTCGTAACTCCCATTCTTTAACATAGACTTACAAGAAAAGATCGCTATGTGCAAGCAAGCCTGTGTTACAAGGAAGCGATAGTGTGACCACCCATAGACAACTTCTTGGATAAGCAGTTTCCACATGCAAATTTAATCCTTTCGTTCAATGAACATGATTTGAATATGAAAATTTTAAGTTATGAAGTACAGGTATTCAGCTTAGATGCCCCTAAATTGTAGATACTGCATCACCGAGTTTCCATTAAGTGTCGACAGGAACTTGCCAGCAATGGCAATGATAAGACTGCAATTTTATTCAATCTAGAGCTTTGTGCAGCATTCATACCGTTGTATGCAGTAGCAGTGATACCTGTCTATACCTGCACTCTATTATAACGAAGTGCGCGTTTTAATAACAAAATTCAGGATTTCAGAGGAAATTATCCAGCTTTAAGAGGGGGCACGGGTTACACTGTCGTCTAAGTCGCCGCAGAATTCTATGATCGTGGGTTCGAATCCCGGTTCGCGCCGTTTATGTTTCTAGGTTTGTCAGTACCACACTCGTGGACGTGGGTTTCACCGAAGTGGTAAACTCTGAGACCTGCATCACTTAGATCTTTTCTCCCACATTAAACTGACACGCCGTGATATAACTGGAAAACGCTTCAAAACGTCTCACTCACTCTAACTTCAGGCATACCATTTAGAAGAATATTCTCGCTAGATATACTCACCCATAACACAGATAGGGAACCAGCAGAGGAAGTCCGACATGACGATGAGAGACAGCTTCCGGGCCAACTGCACGTCTCCCTTCTGCACCGTCACTTCCGGTCTGCCCCGGATGTCGCGGTAGATCCCAGCCTGCCCCACAGCAATGACGACAAAACACAGGAAGTTGAACACAACAAACACTGCCGTTGCATATTCCCACCCAGGTGGTTTATCTCTGGTGAGGGGCAAAGCAAGACACACCCCAGATCGGGAGTAGAACCTGCCCCTGAAGTATTCCAAAGGCAACAGTGGAACTCCAGCAAGAGCCAAGCCACAGAGCCAGGTGACCACACAGGCCACACACGCTAGCTTGGAATTCTGGGCAAAAGCGGAGAAAGGGGACTTGAGGGCGACAAGGCGGTCAATGGTGATGATGCAAAGGAAGATGGTTGAAACCTCACTGGACAGAGCAGACAAGAAGCCAGCCAGCTGACACAGTTCGCTTTCTCGCCACCAGGTGTCGTTCCAGTTGTACCATCCCCGGAAGTGGGTGTCTGCTCCAGCAATGATGAACATATAGACGCCCATTAGGAAGTCGGACACGCCGAGGTTAGCGACATAGATTCCGTTGTTTCGCTTGAGTCCGGCTCTGTCATAGATGAGCCTGTAGAAGAGTACTATTGAGTTGCCTAGCAGAGCAACTGCTCCCAACACCCACAGACTAATTCTAAGGGTGACGTTCTTCATCAAGTCTGAACAGGATGAAAACTCGTCAGGTGGGGGTAGACACTTCGCTTGGGTGACACTGATTGGCCGAATACAACAGAACTCGTAAGCATCGGTCACAAGATCTTGTAGTCCAGTCAGACCTGAAAACACCCCTCCATCAAAACTTTTGATAGTATTCTTTCTCAGGTCAAGACTGATAAGATTATCAAGCTCACTGAAAGCTCCAGTCTCGACCGCAACAAGACCCGTGTTGCTCAAATTCAAACGTTTTAAGTTTGTTAATCCCGAAAATACATTTTCTTGTAGGTTGGCGACAGACAGACCAGAAAGGTCTAAAACAGGAAGGTTCCACAGACCATTGAAAGTTCCCGGGGAGATGTAAGACAACATTTTGTTTCCAGATAAAATTAGGTGTTTCAGGTTCCTGACACCAAAGAACACGTTCTCCACAAGGGAGGTAATCAGGTTGTTACTGAGGTCTAGATACATAAGGCTGATTAGATCCACGAAGGAGGTATTCGTCAGGTCTAGAATACCACAGTCGGACAAGTTCAAGTACAGAAGAGAATCCAGGCCATTAAATGAGTAATTCTCAAAGTCAGGAATGTTGATGCGGCTGAGATCAAGGTTCTTGGTGTCATGGGGAATGGCACTGGCGACATCAAGGGAGAGGTGCTGACACCTAGTGGTCATATCCTGACATGTACATCCCTCCGGACAGGTGGGGTCACAGTCGCGTTCGTCGTCCCCCCTGGGACAGTGTTCTCTTCCGTCACACACCTGGTCCCAGGTCAGGCACGTCCCGCCATCACCGCACCGGAACAGGTCAGGGCAGACCCAGGTGTCTGAAACATCGAACAGATTAACACAACGATAGCTTTATATTTTTCTTTGTTAGCAGTTATTGTTAAAAGACAACGGGGTAGGTGGTCGAAACAAGATGAAAAAGTAGATAAAACAAATAGTCAATTTTTAAAAGTATGACCGAAAAACAAAGCAAAACATGCTGCCGATTGTTCCTTTTGAATGAAGGAGTAGTGGTTGTTAGTTTAGAACACAGAACGACAATTTACACTTGACAAGTTTCTTGAAGCTGCATCTTCCCGAGGCAAGGGAGGTAACTGACTATAAAAGTCCCGTTTCCAAACTTGCTGAAATAGGCTGGAATTCCGGAGTTGTATTTTGGCTGGACTAACGAGTCTATGCATAGTCCAATCAAAATCGCGCAACGAAATCGACATCTGGTTCGTAAACTGTCGTGCAGACTTCAGTCGATTGCATTGATGCGCCGCCAGCATCTTGCAGGCAAGGGTGGAAATAGGACTTTTATAGTCAGTTCACTCCCTTGCCTCGGGAAGATGGAAAGCTACGACAGAGAGTTATATCCCTTCGTATATCGATCTGCTTCAGTAATATTTGTTTTGAATGATAATAAGTCTCGATAATAAAATTAAACGTGATTTATGGTCTTCGGATCCTTAAAAGAAGGTAAAAACGTAAATGATTTCTTTGTCTGTAGAGACAGCAAAAATAACTAAGGATTCATAATCCTTGCACATCATATAAACACTAATTGGGTTTATTGGGATTCATTCCCCATGGTGAACCGGCTTAGAAGTGGTCCTCAGCAACCCATCCTTGTAAAAGGCGACTAATGGGATCAATTGGTCAGGTTCGCTGATTTGGTTCATGTATGTCTGACCCAGACTCGATTATCAACAGACCGCCGTCATATAGCTGGACTATTGCTGATTGGGGCGTGAAACAAACAAACAAACAAACAAATATTAAGTTAAGTGTTCTGTTAACATTTTGTAAGACGACCTTGTTGATGTCCAACTCAATGGGCGGTGGGGTAGCCTTGTGAATAAAGCGTTCACTCGTCACGCCAAAGACCAGGGTTCGATACCCTACATGTGTGAAATCCGTTTCTGGTGTCCCCCGCCGTGATATTTACTGGAATATGGCTAAAGCGGTGTAAAATCATACTCACTCACTCACTCACTCCAACTCACCACACTGCTGCTCGTCACGTCCATCTAGACAGTCACGGTGACCGTCACAGACTCGCCTCAGAGGCAGACAGAAACTGTCTGGACACTTCATATAGTTCACTGGGCACACGAATTCGCCTGGAGCAGACACGAAGATATGTAAGCATAATACCCAACCATATTATTCTAACACTCGACTGAACCCGAGGTAAACTCCGGCTATTTAAGAAATAAAGGAAAAGTGGGAATTGCTTAGCATTGTACGATAAACAACGACAACGAGTCGTTAATTTCTTATATAAGATATTAACATAATGTACCTCTTTGAGGGTGATGATAAAATGTACAAGCTTTAAAAATATTTACCCGTATTCAAATAATGATGACTCCCTGAATAGAAACGGCAATGTCGGACAAGTTGATTTTATGAACAGGTGGGTATTCCCCGCATATTCTCACTTCGATTAACTGTACGACTGTGCTTGTAGTAAGAGGCGACTAACGGGATCGGGTGGTCAGGCTCGCTGACTTGGTTGATGCATGTCATCGATCCCAATTGCGTGGATCGATGCTCATGATATCAATCACTGGATTGTCTGGTCCAGACTCGATTATTTACAGATCGCCGTCATATAGCTGGCAAATTGCTGAGTGCGGCGTTAAACAACAAACCAACCAACATCATGTTGGTTGATGTTTGATACCATTGATTCTTTTAACACATTTTGATGTTCGCCGGAGGGTCACAATAGTGATCAAAATGTCACACTGGAATGTTTCATCACAAGAAAAAGTTTATTCGTTTATAATAATAATGTTATATGTGTCTTTGTGTGAGGTTTTACAAGCCATGTGATCTTGTACATAAGCTCTGCTTGTGAAATACCACCAGCCTCCTTTGACAAGAGTTCTATGAGATTTTGTGATCAAGGGTTGTGGTATTGTGTTAACTCCAGCACATGTACCTACCACAGCCGAGCAGATGGGTCAGATCACGACATCCAACCACTCCGCCGTGTTGATTGTAGTCCAGGACACACCGAGTGGCGACGTCGGCGGTGATGCCAGACTTACACATCATCTGTGTGGTCGCGTTGTGCTTCTCTGAGACGACAAAGAGAATCACATCATGGGACAATTTAACCAGCAAGAATCAAGAACAACATGGAATTAACAAAAGCACAAAATTCAAACATTGCAGATGAACTGGTCAACCATTGTCCTCATGCCTTCTCCCGGACATATTTGTTCCGGTTCGTTACAGTCTGACTGTTGCCGTCCTTCTCGCCTCTTGTCTTGATTGACAGGTCCTATGAACTTTGTTTTGATCCTACTCTCCGTTGATTGGATACAGACTTTGTGGGCGTGTCAAGTAATGTGCATAAAGTAAACAATCATTTGATTCATGTCACGCCACACTATGTATTCCTACACCTGGGATCTACATCTCGTCATATATATATCGTTGTCGAATTTAATTATATTGACTGGACATCTTTTTTTCGAATCGTACCTCAATGCACTGTGGCTTCATTCCTTTACCGCCTCGATTCGGAAATTGCGATCTTTGCAAACAAAAACCACAGATTATATCAAATATACCCTCGATAGTACCCTTTTGAGCGTAGATGCCCTCGCGTTCAGAATCGACTCGTTGAATAAAATATCAACAACAATATAATAGCGTGGCTTTATATTACATGTTTGGTTTCGAGAAAGCAGATATGCTGGTCTGATGCCTTCGCTCACATGTACCGAGACAGATAGGAGCCTCGCCACTGACTGGAAGATGAGAAAGTTTGCCTGACACGACTTACTCTTGACGCGTCCTCAGATCTTCACGCATGCGCAGAAAGGCATCTTCCCCAGGGAAGGGAGTTAACTGACTATAAAAGTCCCGTTTCCACCCTTGCTGAACTAAACTGGAATCATGGAGTCAAATTTGGGCTGGAGTTACGAGTCTGTGCATAGTCAAATCAAAATCACGTAACGAAATCGACATCCGGTTCCTTAAACTGCCGTGCAGGTTTTGGTCCATTGCAGGACTTGCAGAGCATGTGTACCCCCAACTGGGCGTCAACAGATATTTTCCAAATCTTTTCATGTTTTTAGTCAAGGTGCTCAAGGTGCACTTTGCGAGGTCATTACTAGAAAAAGACTTCCTACCCTGTATTGGATTTCTGACTGTACAACCAATTACATAATCACAGGATCCGCGAAGAGCCGGGGTAGAGTATTGGCAACCCATGCTTACCGTAAAAGGCGATTATGCTTGTCGTAAGAGTCGACTAACGGGATCGGGTGGTTAGGCTTGCTGACTCCGTTGATGCATACCATCGTATCCCAATTGCGTGGATCGATGCTCTTACTGTCAATCACTGGATTGTCTGGACCAGACTCGATTATTTACAGACTGCCGTCATATAGCTGAAATGATGCTGAGTGCGGCGTTAAACAACAAACCAACCAACCAACTCTAACGACAAGCAAAGTCGCCTTTTACGGCAAGCATGGGTTGCCAATACTCCTCCCCGGCTCTTCACGGATCCTGTGATTATGTAATTGGTTGTACAAAGTCAGAACTCCAATACAAGGCAGGGTAGGAAGTGATATAGCTGAAATGATGCTGAGTGCGGCGTTAAACAACAAACAAACAAACAAACATAAGCACAGCACAATACCTACTCTCCACACACACAAGCGGGCCCACTGTGAAGCGGATGCTGCCGTACTCGTTCACCACGCTGATGTTGATGCCGCTGATGGGTAGGAGCTGTTTGTCGACGATGTCGCCGTGGTCGTGAAGTCGCGACGTGTCGGGCAGCATGTTCCACGCTTGTTGCACTATGACGTCACAAAAGCACCTGGAGAGAGTCACCATGTCAACGTCATATAATTCATTCTTTGTTTAACACTCTCCAACCAAAAACGACAACCCCACCCCTTAAAAAAACAAAAAACAAGAAAGACACAAAGGAGAAAAACACAAACAAAGCCAACCCCTTCCCACTATTAGTTTTAAAGGGATAAAACCGCATTATTTAATATGGTAGGAAAATTCAATTTCCTGTGTTGGTTTGGTTTGTTCGATGTTTAACGCCGCATTCAGGAATATTCCAGCTATATGAGGGAGTAGTTATAATCGAGTCTGAGCCATGCAGTAGTTATAGGTCACACTTATGTTTAAGTAAAAGCATTCTAAGTAAAAAATGAAAAAAAGCTGTAAAATTTTCAGAAAATCCAAATATTGAAATCAACTTCGCACTTCAACCCTCCAATAGGTAGAAAACGTGAAAAATTTGAAAAGAATCTATAGTAGTTTTCAAGTTAAATGTCGCACACAAAAATGTCCTCGGAAGGACGGACGGAATTCCTTGATATAACTATATACCTTCTGTCCTTTTTGGTCGTGGTTATAACACAACACCCAGCTCTCCTTGCAGAAAACACTCACCTCTCTTGTCCCATGTCACAAGCATACTCAAGTTCACAGCTGCAGTTGGGTTTGGAAGAGTTGTGGAAAAGATGGCGGCCTCCCTTGACGTCGAGCCAGGAGATACTGTTGGACATGGCTCTGTAAACATACTGGCAGTCTACGTCCACCCGTTGACTACAGGACTGCGACCCCTGTAGCACGTACATGACGCTGTCCATGGCGATGTTGTAGTTGATGGGATGCTGTGCGACTGAAATTGTATCCATGACAACCACGTCCTCTTGGTCGTGATGGATGACAGTGGCAACCCTGTCTCTGCTGTGGTCGAATATACACTCCACGGGAAATGTGCCTGCAGAAACAAGTCACATGAGGACAAACAGATCACTGGATCGTATTTTTAAGTTATTCCTAACTGTGTTGATTATTCCTAAATGTGTTGGTGAGTGCGTTTGGTTTAATGCCGCTTCTAGGAATATTCAATTGTACCCATGTGTGGAATCGAACCGGCCATTAAGCGTGACGAACCAACACTTTAACCACTAAGCTACCCGCCGTCCCCTATGATGCTATAAAATCAGTCCAAGAATATGAGAATGGGCGTTTTCTTAGGAGTATTCCCGTATTCTGCCGTGGCAGACGAGCGTCTTTTCCCCACAACTGTCAGCGCCATGTTCATACACAATCTATAACTCAGCCTGACTGAACATGAAATACACGAAAAGTACGGCTTCAGTTAACAATGGTGCAGCCTTGTGATAACAGAATGCTTAGATTTACCATGCTTCTGAGAGTCTAGGGCGGCCGGGTAGCCTAGTGGTTAAGCGTTCGCTCGTCACGCCGAAAACCCGGGTTCTATTCCCGACATGGGTACGATGTGTGAAACCCATTTCTGGTGTCCCCTGCCGTGATATTGCTGGAATATTGCTAAAAGCGACGTAAAATCAAACTCACTCACTCTTAGAGGCTAACCATAGTACAATTGTCAGAACATGTATATACGTGGAAATGATTTTTAAAAAAGCACTCGCGTAGAGTCTGAAAAAATGTTGGAAAATAAATGCCATCTGGAAGATGAGGCTTGACTAACGAAAACGCAGATAATGATGACAATGTGAAATGCGTTAGTACCACAGTTCGACAGTATTGTATTGAGTCAAAATCGGAAACAAAAAAATTATGGATCTTGAAAGGTGTATGATCGGGTAAACATGACTATTGCTGTCCAAAAACGTTCGTTGTAATCTCATACAGACAAGTCCTACAAATCAGTAGCGGGAGTAGCCACCACATGCCCGGATGGCAGAATTTCTGCCAACAAACGGTATCGACACTTTGGACGACAAACACAGGAGGTGCTCAATTAATTTCCTGGTGTATACATATATGTAAATTTACAACGAGAATACGATGAACTACTATCAACTGAAATTTGTTCAGGGTCAACCTTGTCATGTATTATCCATAGTCAGCAGCCATATTGACCATACAATCCCCACAGACTCACACACATTAAAAATTGCTTAAAAGGGAATACTAAATGCAAATATTCCGGGATACTGAACCTAATTCTATTAGCGATATTATTTGTTATGACATAAGCGACATTTCTCTCAGTGAGTGAGTGAGTGAGTGAGTGAGTATGGTTTTATCACAGCGGGAGACACCAGAAATGGGCTTCACACATTGTACCCATGTGGGGAATCGGTCTTTGGCGTGACGCTTTAACCACTAGGCTACCCCGCCGCCCGCGAAACTTCTCTGATCTCACACACACCTCCATCCCCATCCGTGAGGGTGTAGGCACCGTTATCCCGTGCCCCAAGGGCGTGCCACGCCCCACAGGACGGATGTGCCCGGATCCTACACGACGTCCCCTCGTCCTCGTTGTACACCCCGCCACAGTCTATGTGGCCGTCACAGACATTGGCCTCGTGGATGCAGAGACCGTCGTAACACTGAAACGCTGGCTCAGGGCAGACATCTGCAAAACGGGTGTATTGAAGATCACAATGCTGTTTGATTGTTTGTTGTTTAACGCCGCACTCAGAAATATTCCAGCTATAAGACGGCTGTCTGAATATAATTGAGTCTGGACCAGACAAGCCCGTGATTGATCCACGCAATTGGGATACACTGACATGCATCAACCAAGTCAGCGAGCTTGACCGCCCGATCCCGTTAGTTGCCTCTTACGACAAGCATGGGTTGCTGAAGACATATTCTACCCCGAAGCTTCACGGGGCTGTGTACATCTACCCGAATTACGTACAAAAATACATAATATTATGATAAAGTTACTACTTATAACTTCGTTTATGGACATTAATGTGTATATTTTAAACTGATATCCCAATGAAAGGGTAGGTATATTCAAAATGTGAACACAACATCCCTCCTTACAAAAATTATAAAGGTAACCTGTACAATTCCCTATTCTACACCCGATGTACAGTAAACTCCGTTTATAACGAACACGCTTATAACGAATTGACGGATATAACGAACCTACTTTTTTGTCCCGACTATTTGCTATCGTTATGCTGTATATATGCTTATAACGAACTACGGTTATAACGAACTAAAATTAGTGGTCCCCTTGAGTTCGTTATAACCGTAGTTTACTGTATCGAGCCAAATCATACGTATGATTTCCTGTATGTACATTAACTAGAGGTTAATTCGTGTGTTCCAGCAGTTCCAGTGTTTTGAGGTACAATCTATCTTGTTCTTCCAATTTTAAGGACATTTCGAAATTTTAGGCAGCAATGACCAAACCGATGGCCCATGCCATTCCTTCTTCTGACTTGTACATGTATATGTACCATTGAACTCTTGTCTGTGCCTATGTTTGAGATGGTTGTCATGGTGACACAGGAGACGCTCCGCTTTTCGGAAGAACATCTGGTATTTGACGGTGTTTCATAAACATATCATATGACGTAGTTGAAATCGTACAATGGACTTTGCTTTTATCAGAATTCTTATCTTTAAGATTATAGAAAGGGTTTTGTCTGCTTGGAAGATCATCACCATAGTTACCACACATGTCCTCGTCTGAACCATCTTGACACTGGGTGTTGAGGTCACAGCGGTCAGACCGGGGGATGCACTGACCACTGGCACACATCCACTCGTCAGCACGGCAGGCCAAGGACGCTAGAAGACGCAAGCATGTAAAAAACATCATCACAACACACCATCATATTTTTCTTATGAATGAATGAATGAATGAATAAAAAAATAACAATTAAAATAAATAAATAAATTTAGCTTTATGCTGCTTACCACATTGTCTCTCATCTGATTGGTCGCCGCAGTCGTCCCTGTAGTCACACAGCAAGGTGAAGGCCAAACAGCGGCCATTGTCACATTTAAAACGCGATGGGCAGAACACGTCTGAAATGGAATCAGAGATGAATACATGTAAAACACACAATGCAGATAATGTCCAAGATTGAAGCCTGTTGCAGTATAAACATGGCAGGAGTACTGCTTTGCGGTATCAGGCAACAAACACATTTTTTAAAGCAAATTGTGAGTGTGGTGGGTGCTTCATCCTGGTGTCATTACTAACTTTCAGTGATCTATTCTTATAATGTTCACCTCTATTTTGCCGGTCACGCCCATGGAATCTGTTTCGTCGGATAATCGAGACTGGTTATTCTCTGGCGTTGAGATTTTATATTACTACATGTACATTTGAGAACTGTGTTACGTGTGAGTAAGCGAATATGGTTCTATACCTAGGTTTATGATATTACACCTATATCCTAGCGAAGTGCGAGGCACTGGGCCTGGAACAGACAAACAATGTTTATTTGTTTGTTTTTTAACGCCGCACTCAGCAGTGTTCCAGCTATATGACGGCGGTCTGTAGATAATTGAGTCTGGACCAGACAATCGCTCTCTCTCTCTCCATCTCTCTATCTTCCTTCCCCCTTCCTCTATCTCTCTTCATCCCATCTCTCTCTTCCTCCCTTACTCTCTCTTTCTCCCCTCTCTCTTTCTCCATCTATCTCCTCCTCCATCACTCTCTTCCTCCCTCTCTCTCTCTCTTCCACCACTACTCTCTCCTCCTCCCTCACTCTCTTCCTCCACCTCTCTTCTTCCCTCACTCTCTCTTCCTCCGTCTCTATCCTCTTACTCCGTCTCTCTCTTCCTCCATCACTCTCACTGTCTCTCCTCTTTCTTCCTCTCTCATTCTTCCTTCATCACTCTCTTCCTCCCCACCCTCTCTTCCTCCATATCTCTCTTCCTCCCCTCTCTTCCTCCATCTCTCTCTTCCACCCTTCGTTCATCTCTTTCTTCCTCCCTCTCTCACTGTCTCCTCCTCCATATCTCTCTTCCTCCCTCTCTCACTGTCTCTTCCTCCATCTCACTCTCTCTTCCTCCCTCTCTCACTGTCTCCCCCTCCGCCTCAGCATTGGGTACCGTGGATTAACAGGGTTTTCTGACAGCCATATAGTACTACAAAGTACATTTAACGTATTACCGCAGTTACGTTCATCGCTGCCATCTGTACAGTCCATGCGTCCGTCACACCACAGTGTCCGGGAGATGTACTCGCTGTTGTCACACCGGAAGTAGTACCCAGTTCTCTGCGCAGTCGCATTGAAGCTCACGTTACGCACGTCTCCATCTGGAACTGAAGGATTTTATAATGTCATCATAATCATTATGATAACAATCATTTGGAATGTTGACTGAATCGACTTTAAACTTGTTTAAAGACATTGAAATATGGAATAATTATATTTAGTGGCTTCAGATAAGATCGGTCAATTGCAGTTTCAACGGTTATTTGAAAGTTCGGGTAAGCTAAAGTATCTGTATAAACTGTAAAAAAACTACATAGTAAATCAATATGTTAATTAGTGGGGTGAGGTGAAATAGGGTTTAACGTGGCGTCCACGATTATTGCACTTGTAAAGCAACGTGAGTGTGTGTGTCTGTGTGTGTGTGCGTGCGTGTGTGTGTGCGTGTGTGCGTGTGTGCGGCTGCTTGTGGCTGCTGTAGTCCGGACTGATACCGACTTTATAGTGAAAGCCCACAGAAACACCACTCACACTCACACACAGTACACTGTCTCCGAACCGACCAGTCCTTGTTTTAGCCCCTTAATACCGAGCGCCAGGCAGGGTAACAACAAGAACCACCTCTTGACGTCTTTTGGTATGACGCGGACGCGGCCGCGGCCGGGCGCTCTATCACTAGACCACGGAGGCGGTCGTAACAGACTGCTTGACTTTGACAATACGAGTGCTAAAAACAGGCGTCGGAGAAGCAATACATTTTACTGTAATCAATTATCACGGGTACCTGGGTCCACCTGGATCTGCGGCATCTCACACACATACTGCTGGACCCTGTCGAAAGCGCACACCACGTCATGCCAGATGGCCGTCCTCCTCACGTCCGTCATCCTCAACATCACACACAGCTCCCGGTCTCCTCCGTCCGGCTGTGCCACCTGGGACTCGGGGTCAAAGTACCTGTAGGCACAGCGGAATTTCAGCCTGGGAGTTTTACCTACCATTAAGCAACTCAAAAATAACTAACGTGGGTCGAAACTGAGCGAAATGAAGGATTAATGACTGGATGTAAATTGTCAGGTTCTTTGGCTAGGGGAGCTTGCCACCCAGGGCGCCGCAAATACTTATGCAGAAGTTGCGTCCCTTTGGCGTGCCAGAATCCTAGATCGTTGATACGAATCCAAGATCCGCCCTGATTATTATCCTTGGTCTGTGAGCACCATGCTCATTTCTCCAAAGTTGAATACGTCTGAGACCTTAAACACTTGGGACTTATCTCCCATAGTAAGTTAGCGGACATGCCGTGAAATAATGCATATACTCTGCTGACACGCCTTGAAATAACGTATATACGTTGCTGACAAACCGTGACATAACGGATATACTGTGCTGACACGCCGTGAAATAATGTTTATACTGTGCTGACACGCCTTGAAGTAACTGATATACTGCGCTGACACGCCGTGACATAACGGTTCGATTGTGCTGACACGCCATGACATAACGTATATACTGTGCTGACACGCCGTGAAATAATGTATATACTGTGCTGACACGCCGTGAAATAATGTATATACTGTGCTGACACGCCGTGAAATAATGTATATACTGTGCTAACACGCCGTGAAATAAGGTATATACTGTGCTGACACGCCGTGAAATAATGTTTATACTGTGCTGACACGCCTTGAAGTAACTGATATACTGCGCTGACACGCCGTGACATAACGGTTGTATTGTGCTGACACGCCATGACATAACGTATATACTGTGCTGACACGCCGTGAAATAATGTATATACTGTGCTGACACGCCGTGAAATAATGTATATACTGTGCTGACACGCCGTGAAATAATGTATATACTGTGCTAACACGCCGTGAAATAAGGTATATACTGTGCTGACACGCCGTGAAATAATGTATATACTGTGCTGACACGCCGTGAAATAATGTATATACTGTGCTGACACGCCGTGAAATAATGTATATACTGTGCTAACACGCCGTGAAATAAGGTATATACTGTGCTGACACGCCTTGAAATAACGTATATACTGTGCTGACACGCCTTGAAATAACGGTTGTATTTTGCTGACACGCCGTGAAATGACGGTTATATTGCGCTGACACGCCGTGAAATGACGGTTATATTGTGCTGACACGCCATGACATAACGTATATACTGTGCTGACACGCCGTGAAATAATGTATATACTGTGCTGACACGCCGTGAAATAATGTATATACTGTGCTGACACGCCGCGAAATAACGTATATACTGTGCTGACACGCCGTGAAATAACGGTTGTATTGTGCTGACACGCCGTGAAATAACGGTTGTATTGTGCTGAGACGCCGTGAAATAACGGTTATATCGTGCTGACACGCCGTGACATAACGGATATAATATGCCAAAGGACGTTAAAACCCACTCATTCTTTAATTCTTTATAAGGCCGTCTCTTACCAGTCTGTGTACGTGAGAGCTTCACCGCTTGTCCACTCAAACTCTCTGGCACTCCTCTTCCTCAAACCTGTGAAGACGCATGATCAAGGAATATCTTTAATGGTTTCTGTATATCGGCAAATGCACTTTGTCTTCCAACACCTCTATGATGTAACGTACATGTAGATGTTTGGCGATTATGATATCTCTTGTAAGATGGCAACGGTATCTGAACAAAATGGACTCCTGAATTATAGTTGGTTGGTTTGTTGTTTAACGCCGCACTCAGCAATATTCCAGCTATATGACGGCGGTCTGTAAATAATCGAGTCTTGACCAGACAATCCAGTTATTATTATCATGAGCATCGATCCACGCAATTGGGATCAATGACATGCATCAACCAAGTCAGCGAGCCTGACCGCCCGATCCCGTTGGTCCTCTTTTACGACACGCATAGTCACCTTTAACGCCAAGCATGGGTTGCTGAAGACCTATTCTACCCCGGAATCTTCACGGGTCCCTGAATTAAAGACTCCAGATCACAATGAACATCTTGGGGATTCAACAGATGTTCAAGACCACGCTCTCAAAAATAAATAAAGATTACGTTATGAATGGTGTCCTTGTGTTATTAGGCATTAAGAATTTGGAAGAACTTTGAGACATTAATTATTTATGGATAAATACTTTTCGACGTTTCAGGGCTAATAATTCCCTCTCATCAAGCACCTGAGGTAAGCCCAAAACACGTTAACATGTCTTTGGATATGGTCCAAAAAGTATTCGTAAGCCTCCTTTTGACGGACCGTGTCTGATACCTACCCATGTAAGCCTCCTTCTGACGGACCGTGTCTGATACCTACCCTTTATAAGCCTCCTTCTGACGGACCGTGTCTGACACCTACCTATGTAAGCCTCTCTCTGACGGACCGTTTCTGACACCTACCTATGTAAGCCTCCTTCTGACGGACCGTGTCTGACACCTACCTATGTAAGCCTCCTTCTGACGGACCGTGTCTGATACCTACCTATGTAAGCCTCCTTCTGACGGACCGTGTCTGACAACTACCTATGTAAGCCTCCTTCTGACGGATCGTGTCTGACACCTACCTACGTAAGCCTCCTTCTGACGGACCGTGTCTGATATGACTATCACCGTGTGGATGTACTGCATCTCGCTAGCGCTGTTGATGCTGACAAGATGGCTGCCATGTTCGACACATCTATCTTCGGCCTCGAACCAGGTCAAACCAGTTTGTTCTTGTTTGAACAGGTAGCAATGGCCGTTAAAGGCTCGAAAACCAGGCTTACACTCTGGAGACGAAAGAGACCAATACATTTTCAGAAACCTTTCCAAATTCGTCACCAGCTTACTTCATACAGCAGTACAAATCATGGTTTCAAACTGAGATTCTCTGCAACGCATGGATTATCTGAGTTATATAAGATTCAAGTCTTTGAAAGGTATTAGGAAGTGATACACATAAGGAAGAGAGTTTATGGATGTCATCTTCATTATTATGGGGAACACAACGTTTCGGAGAATATGCTTACCCCTTCATCAGGTGATTACTCCTTCATCATTCACCTGATGAAGGATTAAGCATATACAGTAAACTACGGTTATAACGAACTCAAAGGGACTACTAATTTTAGTTCGTTATAACCGTAGTTCGTTATATGTACATATACAGCATGACTACAGCAAGTAGTCGGGACCAAAAAGTAAATTCGTTATATCCGTCAGTTCGTTATAAGCGTGTTCGTTATAACCGTAGTTTACTGTACTCCGAAACGTTGTGTTCCCCATAATACAGACCTTGACATCCATAAATTCCTTTCCTTATACGAGATAGAGTTATTAATTTGTTAATATTTAGGTGATATTTTACATAAAATTATTCTAATCAACCAAAGAACAACATCTGAATAGTTATAGGAAATGTACTGGCAACCTGTGAAATATATTAACTTCAGCCTTTTGTAATACTTACCATACACAGACAATTTGATCCTGAACCCAGCCAGACTCGATACACGGGACATTCTCATACACGACATCAATGTCACCTTGACCTTGTTACTTGAGGATATGATCTCTGACCTCTGATGCCTGGAATAGTTTTTCCCAGTGGCCACGAAGAGAACCTCCCTGGTCTCCAGGACGTTCTCCACAACCAGAGCGTCCTCACAGTCGGCGTTCATGGCCTCGTATGCTCCAACCTGTTGGTCCACGCATATGGATAGAGACGCATTCTTGTAAGTGTGAGCGAGTGGTTTAACGCCGCTTTGAACAGTATTTCAGTTATATCACGCCGTGTCAGCTTGATGTGGGATGCAGGTCTCAGATGTTTACCAATTTGGTGAAACCCAAGAGTACGGGAATGGTGCTGACTGACCTAGAAATATAATCAGGACGCATCTGGGATTTGACCCCACGACCATATGTCTCTGGCTCGCCAAAGAGACGCAACTCTGAACAGCGAATTGGGGAACCTTAGACCCCTAGTGGGTGTCGGCGATGGACCGGGTAGTTCTAGAGCAAGACATCGTGGTTCACAAGACCTTCCCGTCAATTGATGCTTGTCGACATACAGTTTTAAGCTACGAGGGGCGTTCAGTAAGTTTTGCAACTTCAATAAAAGACCAAGTCGCAGAATATCTTTTGCACTTATATTTTTCAATATAATCGCCATTCACCTCAATACACTTATTCCATTTGTCCTTCAAGCTTTTAATACCACCTTTATAGAAATCCGCAGATTGGCCCTCTAACCACGCCTCTGTGGCAGCCTTTAAGTCCTCGTCATCCTGGAAGCGTCTTCCACGTAGGGCAGATTTCAGTTGCCGGAACAGGAAATAGTCACTGGGGGTAGTCTGGGCTGTAGGGTGGGTGATTTAACTGTTCGAATCCACATTCACATATGGCGGCCTGTGCAATTCTCGACTTGTGAACCGGAGCATGTAAGGAACTTTATTACAGCGCGTTGTTCATGTTTGAGAGAACCCATGATTGTGACCACCCTTAGGTGAATGAAGCCATCACATCTAACTTATTGTTGTGTCTGGAACTTGTTATGACACGTGTCAACCTGATGTTATGACAGGTGTCACACCTGCCACAAGTTGACATTGTTTGTGTAAACACAAATGCCCAAGTTGCAAAACTTATTGAACGCCAGTCGTATGTTGTGAGGCTCCTCGCAATTTTCAAAAATGTATTTTGGTACATTGTGTCGACCGCCAGCTTGGACCCTCGCAATTCACAACCCAACACAGGTATTCCAATATACTTGTAGCTTTACTTCTCAGTAATGGTCAAACAACATGTGAGGAGAAGACGACACAAGCCAAGGGAGGTAACTCTCCCACTACCTAGGCAGTCTGCCGCTAAACATAAACAACGGTCGCCAACCACACTGGCGCAACCTCCTTTTTTCTTTGTAACACATTACCTGATATGGGTTACTATTAAAGACTCATACTGTCATAAACAATACCCAAAATAACTGGTCACAATAAAACTTAAAACCTGATGTAGATATCCTTGACATCACGTGATATAAGCTGATACGACACCATAACTATAGTCTAAATGCGAAAAGGTATCCAGACACAGTTGATGGACATAGCAACATAAACATGTTAGAAATCGGTTACATAGTCATTGAGGTGTTGAGGTGGTCGCCGTGCACGGATTGACCTCCTTTGTGCAATGACTGGAGTTGAATACACGGTATCATCAGTGTCATCTGTATACACAATGTCATTGTCACTAACATTTTCACGCAAGGAGTCCTGATTATCAAGAGGAGGATGTTCTGGTGGGTTGACTAGAATGTCTTGGTCATGGTATGGTTCATTTAGCACTGGGGGAACGATGGGAAGGGTAGGTGGTTCAGTCCTTTGGGGAACAGTATCTATCTCACCATCAGAAGACTCATCGCACACATATTGCTGAGGAAGTCCACTTGACCGTTCATGTTGACATGGAACTCTGAAGCACTCTGATTTTTTTACTCTATATGATGTGCTTCGAAGTTGGGAACCCACAAACTTCTGAATGTTGCACCATTCACCATCGTTAACAACCACAAGGTATCGATCTCGTGACCGTGATTTATTACGATCTGCATGTAGATATACCAGGTCACCAATGCTGATGTTAGGGGTGGGCAGGCTTGGGATATGGGCTTTAGACATCTCACTGTGTAGGTGATTGGTAGTTCGCCGGTGATGTTGGTCAAGGATCAATTTTCTGTCTCCAACGGGTATTTGGTGGTTGTTAAATTGATCTCTTTGTGTCCACATTTCCCTGGCGGATAACCCTCTGGATCTGATGCGAGAATTTAGTTGAGCAGTGGCTATAGCTAGGGTTATAGGTGTGACCGACCCCCCCAAAGGATCAATTTTTAACAATTCCAGCTCCAGCTCTTGAATAGCTCGCTCGGCTACGGGATTCTTGTTCTTGTTCTTTATTCGACCAATTTCAATGCAAAGACGTTGACTTCGGAGGTCATCTTGAACTAAGGCCTTAAATCCTGGAGCTGGGTCAGTTCTGATGACCGCCGGGGGTCCATCTAATGGTCTCATCTCAACACTGAGGCGAATCAAAGCCTCACGTAGGGTTCCCTTTTGTTCATTTTCAATGGCACATGTACAGGTGAAAGATGTGACACATTCTCTCAACACAAGTATGAGTTGTCGTTCTCTTTTTATTACATCTGCAGCAAACGCGGCTCCAATGATCTCTGGGGGATCAGTAGATGACTGAGCCACAACTGTGTGGGGAACCTGTTGAAGAGATGTACAGTGATAACATCCGCTTGAAACTTTAGTTATTGCTTGATCCATGTCCAAAGCATAGAAGTAGCGGTTCACAACGAGTTTCAACTGGTGGGCAGAAGGATGATTTAACTGGATGTGCATTGCAGTCAGTAATCCATCCAAGACTTGTCGTGGAATGACGATGCACTCTCTGATGGTAACAAGGGGCTCATTTCTTTGAATCACCAACACACCATCTTTGGCGATGGTCACAGACTGTAGATAACGTTTTACGTCTTTAACATCAGTTTGTTTCTTGGATGGGCGAGTGCCCTGTATGAGATGAGCATGTGTGCGTCTGAGATCAGAACACTCTGACTGGATGGCGAGCCATGCATTCCTGTTGGTGTATGGCAGTTTAGATTTCCCTGACATGATGTCCTGAACAGAAGTACCACGTACCGTACAGTCCTCAGTTTGACGAATGAATGAGCAAATCTGACACAGGGGCTCGTCACACTTGGATGCATTTCTACTGGCAAAATCAGATGGAATATTTGCAGAACCACTGAGATGGCGAACAGAGGCCTGGTATCTACTCACTGTCGACAAAAAGGTAGACACTCTGGGGCTTGCTGAAAACTCTCCACGACACAACTTTTCATATGCTTGAACACATGGTTTACTGTCAGTCAGGATACATGCTTGTAGGCTTGACTGTACAAGGTAAGGACTAAAGTGCTTGGTGGCAACAGCTATAGATAGTGCTTCTATTTCACACGGTAGCCATGTCATTTGACGCTGGCGCAGTTTGGCACTGAAGAAACCAGCGAGGAGAGTACTGTTGTTCCTTGTAATGTAGAGAGTAGCACCTATGCCATGGTTTTTCACTGCTCCATCTGTAACGATCCATAGCTGGTCATCCTTTCGAGGAAGAACAATGGTTTTATGTGAGGATAGTGCAGATTGAGCATTTCCAAAGGCACAGATAAGTACCTCTGACCAAACTATTCTCTCTGCTGAAGGACGTCCAGCTTGAAGAGTGTCCAATGGACCCAATAGTCCAGCACAACCTGGTATTACCCGGGCGAACACTTTGTAGGCTCCAATAAACGACCTCAAACCCTTGACCGTAGATGGACGGGTGCAACTAGAGAGGGTGGAAATTCTGTGAGGACTTGCTTGAATTGAGCCATTTTTCCAAATCCATCCTAAGATGGTCACACTAGAAGGGCCGACAGTAGTCTTGGCAGCTGAAAGCTTTAATCCATTGAATTGCAAGGCCTGTAGAACACGTCGCCAGTTGTTCAGAAGCTCGTCTACGGTATTACCTCCACAATATAAGTCATCTGCCAACTTGGCCACTGATCCTTCCTTGAGCAAGTGCCCAAGCACACGACACATCAATTCTTCTAACGCAGTTTCAGAGCCCGGCATGCCCATGGCTGATCGGGCATAAACACGGACTCCACGGAAGGGAGTGGCCACACCACAATATTTCATTGATCCACGTGACAGGGGTATTTGGTAAAAAGCATTTGTCAAATCTGTGGTTATGATGTACTTCCATGCAGCTATCTGGCGTAATGTAGAATCAACATCAGGCATGAGTGATGGTTGTGGTTTACTATACCGCCCCACATCTGTGAATGCTGTAACCAGACGAAATCCACCATTTGACTTCTTGACAAGGAAGGATGGATTTAAATATTCCACTGATATCCCCACATCTTCAGGCTTGACGAAGACACCAATGTCCTCAAGCTCATCGAATTTGTCTTGCAACTCTACAAGTTTGTCACGTGAGTATTGTGGGACTCGTCCCTTGCGTTGAGGGGGTTGGACAGGACCCATGTTGACAACTGCCTTGAACGGGCCAGATTTTCCATTATATCCATGGACATGTGGATTAAACACATCATCGTACTCCTTTATGAGGGCGTGGAAACTGTTGCGAGTGTCTGGTGTGAACTGGTTATCTGGGTCAATGCGTACCTGTTCTGAACAATTGACCTTGCATGTAGTAGTGGACTGTCTGAGAGGAATGCTTTCTGATTGACTATCGACCATCTCGGTCCCAGAGTTTGGGATGGTGAATACTTGTTGAACCTGGCAAAAGTGCTCATGCTTCTTGAGGACAAGAGGCTCTTTGGTGTCATTAGGAATTCTAATCTTCCCTGAAACGCTGGACACTATATCTGGTGTTGGCCATTCTTTGTGGTCTTTGAATAAATCACCTGTTAGACGTGGTTCCACTGCGAATGTGTCATCTGAGTGGATCAGGTCATCCGGGAGTGATAACTCTATGAAATCGCCAGGCCAGATTGTTGTAGGGGACTTAGGCGCTCGTAAGACATGTGCACGTCTTACTGTATGGTGTGACGAGTGGGTTTCTTGGTTGCCGTACTGGAAGGTGGTTCCATCTCCAAGTGTAATTTGGCGCTTAGCTGGGCGAACGGCAACATCATTTATTTCCATGAACGGTGTTCCTGCAAGCAACTCGACATCAAGGTTCTCCACAACAAGGCCCTCGAAAATAAAATCCTTATTGTCACGGCTGAGAGTTACTCGTGTTTCACCAACAATATGGAGTGGGGATGAACCATCAGCCTGATGGGCAGATTGTGAACTTTTGGTGACTTCAATGCCGAGTCTCCTGGCAGTAGTCTGACTGATCATATTACCTGTAGCTCCACTGTCGAGGGTAAGACATATGACATTATGACCATAAAATGCGTTCATATATGGAGACTGACGTACACTGACTCTATTGACTGAAGCATTGTTTACACTTGAGGCAGTAACGGGAGGTGTAGATACTGTGTCTGTATGAGGGGACTGTCCATCTTCATCCTCTGACTCATCCAGGATGCTAGCTATTTGACGTGCCTTAGCCATGTATTTTCTGTCTTGATCAGGTAAGTATGAACATTCACTGAGAAAGTGATTGTCATTAGGACGACCAGCTGTGTGACAGAGGGGACACATTTTTGAGGTTGACTGGTAACGACGTTTATTGGATGTCTGCTGTATGCGAGGTCTAAAATTAGATCTTTGACTGAAGTTGTTTGCTCTAGTGGTAGCAGTCCTCATGACCTTGGCATCCTCAGATGAATGTATTTCATCTAACAGGGAATTGAGTGCCTGTGATATCTCAGGTTTAATTGACGCTAGAGTACGGGATCTCAGTTCCGTTCCATATCGTTGCTTCACCAGCTTGGGCAAATCAGGATGGATAAGGCGCAACCAAGTCAGGATAATAATGTTCTCTAACGTAGGTGTTAATTCCTCATCCTCGCCACTCGCCTCTCCATGATGAGTGATTCCGCCATTTTGTCTGAGCAGATTATCTTCCATAAATGCAGACAGGCGCTGGTAAAGATCCTCTGGTCGCTCCTCAGGTTGGAGATGTATGTCACACAAATCAAGAAAATGTGCACCAGATGACTGGAAGCCGTAGTGTAGTCTGATAGTCTGCCAGATACTTGAAATCGATACTGAACTTTTCACAATGGTGTTCCTGGCAATTACAGGACAATAATTGGCGATTTGGCCCAACATTAACTCGAGTGATGTTACCTTTTGCGCTGCCGTCTTGCGTTGAGCTCCAGCAACGTCTTCCCCATCATTTTCAAATCCTCGTAACGGGGTTGCACGTGTACGTTTTCCCCACGTGGCGCCGTCAGCAAGAAATGTTGCAAAATTCGTGTCCAGTGATAACGTATATAGTAGGTTTTGTTTCCAATTCTCAAACGAATTAACAGTTTCATGTTTCGTGAGAGACCACTGTTTCGGTGCTCTGTGAGTGTTTGCCATGATGTTATGCTAGTAGGCCTACTTGAAATACCCGCGCTATCGTGGCGATGTCGACCAGGTAGATTGCACACTTGTTCGTGTAGTAACTGCGAAAGTCAGGTTAAGTGCCGTGTTCAGAGATGCGGATGATCGTCTCCGCTGCCACCACGCCAGCTTGGACCCTCGCAATTCACAACCCAACACAGGTATTCCAATATACTTGTAGCTTTACTTCTCAGTAATGGTCAAACAACATGTGAGGAGAAGACGACACAAGCCAAGGGAGGTAACTCTCCCACTACCTAGGCAGTCTGCCGCTAAACATAAACAACGGTCGCCAACCACACTGGCGGACAAAAAGTCGCTTTTTAATGAAATAAAGGTCTGGATATCATACACACGCACGTACACAGACACGCACGACGCACATACATAGCTTTTAAAAGTGTCTTTGCTTAGAAACTTCGTAAAACGCACTCACTTTACATAATACCTAGATAAGCAGAAAGCCCAATAGAATATGAGTTCTTTTGCGAGGTACCTGCATGGATCGTCCTTCTTTCACTGGAAGTGTCAGATTAAGTATTTCCAGTTTGATTTGACTCTGGGCGGGGAACTCCACGTCCCACACACAGTGCGTACCCTCGCCGTAGTAGAAGGGGAAGCTCGGAGAAGTTATCTCCCCTGAATCTCTCACCTCAGTATAACATCCTTCCTTAGACTGGATATCTTCTACAATACAAAAACAAATACATTTTGTTTTGTCATCAGAGGATTTCACAGAAAAAGTTTGCCTTAGCCGATTGTTGTTCAGCCCACACTTGGCAATATCCCAGCTATATGCCGGCGGCCTGTGATTAATCTCTACCAGACAAACCAGTGATTGATATTATGAGCAACTCCCAGGCTGTCGGGGTACGGTTACACACAGTCAACCAATTGTAAGTGACTGAGTCTGGCCACCGATCCATTAAGTCACCTCGTACGACAAGCATGGGTTGCTGGGGATCTGTTCTAACCCGGAATCCCCGCGGGGATTAAGATTATTTGTTGTTTTAGTTTCACGACATCAAACAACATTTCAGTTGAAAAAAAATGAAAACTGTTTCAGGAATACATCTGTCTATATATAGTCGTTGTTTCTGTCACTGTTTCTATCATATCGAACCTTGTTTCGGACATCCAATAAGCTCCAGCTTGACGCATGCTTGACCGTTAAGATGCATCCGGATAATGCGTGAAAAGATGGATTCGACAAACAGGAATCTCTGTGGGAAGTCTGGGGCTAAAGACGAATCAACGTAGAAAGTCTGAAAAAGTCAGAGTGAGTGAGTTCGGTTTTACGTCGTTTTAAACATCTTTTTTAGTTACATCACGGTGGGTCGACTTGCATGAAAGCCTCGTAATTTTCAGTAGGGAGTATCTGGACAAGATGCGGTATACAAATCTATAATTTATAATTATTATATAAGTTGTGTAATGCCGACTGTGGCATTTAATAAAAGCGACAAAACCCTTTCCATATTCATAAGAAATATCTGTCAAAAATGGAGTCTATTTTACGATTCCGTCTACATCATGAGCATGTGTTTATGGATCATTATCGAATGGTGATGAAACCAGGTGTTCGCGAAAAGGTGAGCGTATCCTGCCTCACCTGTGGCACTCGTCGCAAACACATGCAAAGGCAAATCAATTGTTCAACCGGAAAAAACACGGGAATCTATAGTGTAAGTCAAAATAGGGAATTGCATCGGACATCATTTTTGTCACTGATGTGTTAAGTTTGGAAATGTCCTCCACATGTCTACCATAAACCGTTTTGAAAGCTTACTCAGGCTTTGAATATACCTTGATCACACAACTTCTGAGCACGACTTGTATGACGCTCTTTGAAAAGTTGTTTGAAAGAGCATGCTCGGTCGTACATCAACAGTTGTGAAGGGCTGGAGCTGCAGGAATATTACTCGACATAAAGGGAATGTTGAATTCATCAACATTCACTTGTTGTTGGGTCACTGCATTCAGTGAGCGAGTGGATGAGTATGGTTTTACGCCGCTTTTAGCAATATTCGAGCAATATCACGGCGGGGGACACCGGAAATGTGCTTCACACATTGTACCCATTCGGCGTGGCGAGCGAACGCTTTAACCACTAGGCTACCCCACCGCCCCCATTTCATTAGGAGTATTAAACTATCATACTAATCGTCTGTATTCCGTGAATGTTTACAGGCAGATACGTACCCTAACCTGCCCCCGACCGTCCAGATACGGAGTCAGCGTGTCTGGCGTCAGGCCGTGCAGCACTGTGAAGGAGTCGGGCATCTTGTGGTCAGCCCCTTCCTCTGTCCAGCCCTGCACGACCACGCCCTGCACCGTGACGCTGGTCAGCAGGTCCACCTGCAGCATATCAACAGGTCATTATCCAACAGATGGGGTTTGAGAAAACACACAACTTAATAGATAACGACTTCGCGTATGTTACATTTAGCGACCTTTTGACGCAGATTATCACTCCAGCTTGATAACGGTGTAAATATATACATAAAAAACTGCATCTAAATGAAAAAAAGAAATTGGTATCCATTAAGATGTGTGTTTTCTTATATACTCACCAACTTCTAGAATCAATCAAAAAGTTGGAAGGGGCGTGCAGGGACTGGGGATAGTTGTGAAAAATATTTGATCGTAAGATTTTTCTAAATATATTTCCATTGGGCATCCTGAACAGATTGTTGTGGGTTTGTAGGAATACAAAGAACCACTCCATTCATGATATAGTGCCATGATTTGCAGACTGTTTAAGCCTTATAGATCGCTAAACTGCTTATCCAGGTTTATCGGATTGGATTACAGCATCGATAACACCAACCCTTAAGTAAAGGTTTGTTTGTTTGTTTGTTTGTTCACGTGTTGATAAATGTTGTACTCATCAATATTCCAGCTATATGACGGCGGCCTAATATAATCGAGTCTGGGTCAGACAATCCAGTGATTGATATTGTGAGAAACGACCCACGCCGACGGTGCACGAAGATACGCTATCAAACCAAGTCACTGAGCCTGACCACTTGATCCATTTCACCACCCCCTGCATAGGTTGCTGGGGGCCTGTTCTAACACTGAATTGCCACGGGGGTGGGGGTTTGGGGGCGGGCTGACGTGATAAAGATGAGTATCTTGTCACCGACCATAAACGGGAGGCTGGTGGTGTGCGTGTACTGGCTGCGTGTGTGTGTGTGTGTGTGTGTGGTGGTGGTGGTGGGGGGGGGGGGGGGGGGGGGGGGAACAATCCATCTACCTGTATATATGGGTTAGGGTCAGCGTCCGAGGCGCACCACCCTGCGGGTAGGTTAAGTCGGGCATTACGTGGTGGCAGCGAGTCAGATGCTGTTGATGAAGATGCAATTTGCGCATCTTGAATCACTCCCGACAGCATCCCCATCGGCAAGCCACACGTCAAAGCTGAAATAAATCATACCCTTTTGTTCACATATCTAATGTATCTGGTTTGAAACAAATATGGCTATAACATAAGGCTATTATTACAGGTATTAAGCTTACAAAGTTTTGGCTAATCTAAGACATGGTTGTGAGTGAATGTTGTCCACGCAAGTTGATAATATTCCAGCCCGTCATCTGTGAACAGCCTTTTCGGATTGTGTACCTGTATTTCTTAACATATGTTGGTTTGTTTGTTGTTTTACGCCGCAGTATTCCAGCCATATGGCGGCGGTCTTTACACATGTGTATTAACTCAGTCTCATTAAAATCCGATCCTAGTTCTCGCTACCGCTAAACAAAGATCTGAGGACATCCCATTACGGCTCACGTCAGACCAACCTTTCACGAACTTTGACCGACCAATGGAATGACCAATCAGAAGGCAGCTTTCTCATGCTTTACGGCACTAATTTCAAATTGGCGACTACGCTTCGAAACATATTTTGACAAATTCTCGTTAACAAATTTGAAACCTGAACAAAAGAACATTCTGGAATGGCTAATAAATGGTCCATATTGTATGGATTCAGTCGTTGGTGAAGTTTTCGAGGTTGCCTGATTAGAAATTTTTATTAGATCACTTTTATAATCTGGTAAGCGATGCTCTGATTGGTCGGATGAAAGGTCGTTCTGACGTGGCCCCTAATGGGGTCCTCAGATCTTTGTTTAGCGGTAACTAGAACTGAAGTCTGATTTTAATGAGATTGGTATTAACTGATCGTATGCAGGCATTACGTGTGCATTAACTCTACTGCCTGTAATAATGTTCAAAACGCTTGTTCAAGTGTCGCGTGCTGTAAATAACACGTAGATCACTGTTGTGAGGTTATGCCACATGTTTTGTTTGTTTGTTTGTTTGTTGTTTAACGCCGCACTCAGCAATGTTCCAGCTATATGACAGCGGTCTGTAAATAATCGAGTCTGAACCAGACAATCCAGTAATTAACATCATACGCATCGATCCACGCAATAGGGATACGATGACATTCATCAACCAAGTCAGTGAGCCTGACCACTCGATCCCGTTAGTCGCCTCTTACGATAAGCCAAGTCGCCTCTTACGACAAGCATGGGTTGCTAAAGACCTATTCTAACCCGGATCTTCACGTGTGTATGCCATATTTGATATTCTTGGGAAGATTGCTAAATACAAGTAATCTAAAACCGCATTTTAAACCAAATATTTAAAAAAAGTGTTTTAAAATACTCAGTTTTACTAGACGCAAAAGAGGAGAGGTGAGGTGAGGTGAGGTGAGGTGAGGTGAGATTGGGTTTAACGTCGCGTCCAAGATTATTGCACATTATAGCGACGTGCATGCACGTGTGTGTGTGTGTCTGTGTGTGTGTGTGTGTAGCTACTTGTACTAGTCCGGACTGATGCCGATTTATAGTGCTAGCCCACTGAGATACCATGCCGCAGTTTAACATGAATACCCTACTCAGACACTGTATACTGACTCCGAGCCGACCAGTCCTTGTTTTAGCCCCTTAATCTAAAATCTTTTAACGTCTTTTTGTATGACGCGGCCGGGGATCGAACCCCGGACCTTCCGCTCTCTTGGCGGACGCTCTACCACAAGACCACGGAGGCGGTCCACTAGACCCAAAAGAGTAAAATTATACTAAATGCACAATATGAATGATAACGTGAGTACATACTTAATGGTTTCCAAACATTATCTTGAGCCTTCGTTCATCATCTTAGTCGAATCGTAGTGGGTACAGGGGAATCAGTTTAAAATACCCAAGGGAAAATGTCTTGAGTTAAAAATTTCGCAATTACCTTTAGCCCTTATTTTGACTTCAGACAGTTCAAAAATGAACCCTGGTGGGTAGTCACGTCCGGGGTGAGAGGCGACGTTGTTTTGTATGGTCACGTACTGACCAGTGAGTGGCCGGACACACTCAAATCGGTACACGTTATTGCGGCCCAGGTTTGTAGGGCCCTCGCAGACCGGGGCGCCGGACGTGAAGAAGTCCCACTGCCGGACGCTGACAAAGGTCATCATATGACGGGCGTTATAGGGCTTCTCCTCTGAAACCAAATACACAAAACAAATACAAATAACTAAAACAAATAACTGAAATATTAGAAAGTGAGTGAGTCATTATGGTTTTACGCCACTGTACGTGATATTGAAACAATATCAGAAATTGGCTTCACATATTGTACCCATGTGGGGAATCGAACCTGGGGCTTCGGTGTGACAAGCGGACGCTTTAACCACTGGTCTACCCATCTTCCCTTAACATTAGAAAGACATCAGGCTTCAAATGTTTACCGTATTCCACGTAATAAGCGCCCCGCTCTAATAAACGCCCACGGCGATATTTGCTATATATTGGCTAGTCAACAATCCCAATTAGCACCCCTTCCGATTGATCAATGTACACAATACTTATTTATTCGCGTATAATACACACTCGTGCGTTATATGCACCTTTAATTATGGGCAATTAAATTCTTGAAAAATATATCTGTCGTACATAAACATTTCAGGCTGTCAGCATAAACCACGAAATATATCTTTCACCAAAATAATATTCTAATAAGAGCCCCCGATTTCTAATTTTGAGAGCGCCCTGGGCGCTTATTACGTCGAATACGGTACCTTAAATTAGTTGATATTTAATCATGTAGAACTTTAAAAGGTTTATATTCCAGAAACGATGCCAATCTTTAATATAATTCTATTTTATTATCGTTTAAAATATACAAATATTATTATTAGTATACAACCTATGATTGTGGGTTCGAATCCCGGTTCGCCCCGATTATGTTTCTAGGTTTGTCAGCACTATACCCGTGCTCGTGGGTTTCACCGAAGTGGTAAACGTCTGAGACCTGCATCACTTCGGGCTTTCCTCCCACATTAAGCTGACACGCCGTGATATAACTGGAATACTGTTAAAAGCGGCGTTAAAAACCCAACTCACTCACTCACTCGCAATGTTTAAGCCAGATGTGGGAAGTCAAAGTCATATTACTGGGTTTACCAACCTTCAGCTCTGACTATGACGACTGCCTGCACCAGGAAGTGTCTCTGCAGGTCGACCTGAAACCACGGCTCCACCAAACCTGGTTCTGTGGCAAAAGATGCAGGGCCTACAAAGGAAACGTCATCTCAATGTATATACTGTTTATAGCATTCGTCACCACTCGCCCCTTTCCGTAACGTGCAAGAAGACTCGTCCCCCTATCGATGAATGTTATGTGCGAAAATACGACAAACCAATCAGAATGCGCGTATGATTTCAAGTTCTTTGTCAAGGATTCCCTCAGAAATATCTTTTGAATTTTACATATGTCTTGCATCTAAAAAAATACCCAAGACACAGTTAAATGTGTTCAATCATACTTTTAATTCCGCATGTCCAGATATGCTTTACATTGCATCTGAAATATATAATATAATATATGGGGATATATATGTGAACCATTACGCAACGAGATGACATGAGATTAGGTATGCCCGTTTGCGCTAAGAAGGAGCCCGGTCGCAAAAATGGCCATGAGAGGGGCACGAGTCGCTATCCGGCTTGTCCCGGAATAACACGAGTTGGTCACGAATGTGTTTATAGGTGTTGGTGGGACAAGCATGAGAATACGTCAGGGGCCTGTCACACTGCTCTCTCACCTTCTGGGTCTGCCAGACAAGCTTTGACTAGTATCAGGTACCAATCACAGTCCATTCCTAAAAGAACAAGAAGACAAAGTCATCGATATATATATGTGCATAAAGACACACAAATTATGTCTCCTTATACCAAGAAGGTTAATACTACAGCTTGTGAATACGCTATGATTTATGATAAACAGAACGATCCCTTCTCTGCTTGAAATGCTTTCAATACCTTCCAAAGACGTGAATTAGTGATGGTACTTATCTATAGAACCCGTAACCCGGGTTAGTGAGTGAGTGAGTTGGGGTTTAACGCCGCTTTTAACAGTATTCCAGTTATATCACGGGAGGAAAGCCCGAAGTGATGCAGGTTTCAGACGTTTACCACTTTGGTGAAACCCATGAGCACGGGTATGGTGCTGACAAACCTAGAAACATAATCGGGCCGAACCGGGATTCAAACCAACAATCATAGGTTTCTGGCGTGTCCAGGGGACGCAACTCTGCACAGCGAATCGCGGCGCCTTAGACGACTGGGCCACCCGTGCCCCGCGTAACCCGGGTTAGAATAGCTCTTCAGCAACCCCTTCATGCCGTGACAGGCGACTATGCTTGTCGTAAGAGGTGACTAACATGATCGGGTGGTCAGGCTCCTGACTTGGTTGATGCATGTCATCGTATCCCAATAGAGTGGAGCGAAGCTCATGATGTCAGTCACTGGATTGTCTGGTCCAGACTCGATTATTTACAGACCGCCGTCATATAGCTGGAATATTGCTGAGTGCGGCGTTAAACAACAAACAAACACACAAAACATATCTATAGATAGAGCTTTTCATTTGAAATCAATGTTAAATTCAATATTCTCAAAACTCTTAATCATTATCTAAATTCCTAAATTGATGTATGATGCTGTGCAACATCAGCAACGTCTCACAACGTCAGGGTACCATGCCACACAATCAACCAAGTCACCAAGCCAGCCCACCCGATCCATTTAGTTGTCTCTCAAAACAAGTACAGGTTGCTAGGGAACCTTTTTCAACCCGGAAGTGAATGAATGGTTAATGAGTCGCTCCGCAAAATGAAACCCTTATTTGAACCCCAACTTGTTATTGCCTAAAAAAACTCAAAATCTTTTGTTTGTAAGCAAACGAATAGGAAAATGCACCACTTTACCTGGTTTGCATGCTCAAGTATGTTCCGGAATTGATCACTACACTCACTTGAACGAAAAGTCAACTTGTTACTTCGAAAACGCAAAAAGATTTACAAAAGGTCCCAGTAAAGTTCATGCCTGATGTATAGAGAAAGTTTCATGAAGAAATATTGAACGGTTTAGGAGTTCGGAAACAAAATGTGAAGGAGCCGTTTCTATATCCCCCGCAAAACTTTGTTTGGGCCTTGTATAAAAATAACATTTGGAAAAATGTTATCAAAGCAAAGTGTGTACCTTTGTTTCTTCTCTTATTATCAAATCATTTGAATTTATATGTACAAATAGATGATAAAATTATCAATCCAGTGTACTTATTTAGTCATGTCGAGTTCAAGATAAAAAACTAATTTCCCCAAATCATTTACAATTTCATTTCAAATTCTACTAAATACAAGCTGTCCAACTTACTAATCTTGCCATCCAACGCATTTTCTGTGGAATTTCCCAGTTTGGCATTGGAAGACCTTGCAGCCTTCTTGAAAGCCACATTGGGTAAATCTTCGGAAACATCTGAAATAAACGGTATATTTGACTCCCCAGTAACAGTTACAGTCTTGCCAATGTACGCTTGTTTCCTGTGGGGTGTCATTATACACACAGCCCAGTCGGTTGATGTTCTCTAGTGGACAACCCTCCAAGTCATTGAGTTACCAATGTATTAGGTCTTCATAGATAGATACACAGTAGCGGGAACCAAATCTCACCAATAACCAATGATGACTACAGCAAGTCAGCGTTGCACAGAAGGGACACACCATTTAATGTTCTGGGCGGCCTAGATTTATAGAGAAAGGATGTTATTTTATCACTGCTTCTAAATACGAATTTTCTCTGCGGAAAAGATGAGCCGAACAATCTAAACATTCACAACACATATTTTCAGGTTAAAGAAAAAGTCCATTGAACAATTTTCTGTTTGGTAAACCTGAGGTCAATTGAATTTTCTTCTCCAGTTTTTGTGTGGAATATATTCTCTTTTTCAAAAGAACCCCTCCCCCGCCTCCCACCTTTTCTGAATATCAGTTCGTTGGTCCCTAACGCCAAGCGTTACATTTGCTTACAGGCTGACGTCGCATGGCAGGACAACTACTGTGCGGAGTCAGGCACTAAATACTTATTTTTTCATGCAAATTATATGGATGGCGGTTTGCTATTGGTGGGACAGGACTTGCCTACCCTTTTCGCGAACACCTGGTGTCATCACCGATTTTCAGGAGCCCATTCATATAATTTCCACAGCTATTTGACCTTTACGGCAAATTGAATCTGTTTCGGCAGAATACCCAGGCTGGTTATGCTCTTGCATTGACAATATATTTTTACACAAATGATACAAGATGATACACGATGATACAAGATGAAACGTACCACAAAGGGGCACGGAGACACAGAACGCCATGGTAGTCTTGTGTTTACAGACGAGGAAGCGCCAGTTCCAGGCCGCCTTCCGGCAGTAGTTCTCCTCCAAGTTCCCCATGATGTAGTCGGTGTCGGTGGAGGGCCAGCCGTTGTCGGCCCAGTACTCACACTCGTAGCCCAAGTTGTGGACACTGTGACGACCTCTATAAGAAGACCCTAGGTCCTCAAAGAAGGCACATTCTCTCCGCTCTGAAAACACATTTAGCCTCTGAGGAAAATTGTCAAGATTTGTTACATGTTTTTCTGACTGTGTTGTTTTAAACAGCAACTGTTTTCTATCATATGCAAAAACAAATTGGAGGATATATGGCATACGTTTTTAATTGACACGTTCATTATGATGTGAGGCACGTAGTCTCCTACATTGGTGTAATATTATTGATCTCATACTACTGGTCTCATACTATTGATCTCATACTTTTGACCTCAAACCTTAGTCTCGTACATTGGTGTAATACAATTGTGTCATACTATTGGTGTCATACCATTGGGATCATTCCATTGCTCTCATACTATTGGTGTCATACCTATGTGTCATACCATTGGTATCAAACAATGATGTCATACCAATGGTATCAAACAATGGTGTCATACATTGGTCTCATACCATTGGTATCAAACAATGGTGTCAAACATTGGTGTCATACTATTGGTCTCATACATTTGTGTCATACCATTGGTCTCATTCCATTGCTCTCATACTATTGGTGTCATACATTGGTGTCATACATATGTGTCATACCATTGGTATCAAACAATGGTGTCATACATTGGTCTCAAACAATGGAGTCATACATTGGTGTTCCTACTATTGGTCTCATACATTTGTGTCATACCATTGGTGTTATACATTGGTGTCATACATAGGTGTCATACCATTGGTCACATGCAATGGTCTCATTCATTGGTGTTATACCATTGGTGTCATACATTGGTGTCACACTACTGGTGTCATACCTTTGGTGTTACACATTGGTGTCATACATACATGTAGGTGTCATACCATTGGTCTCATACATTGGTGTCATACAACTGGTATCAAACAATGGTGTCATACCACTGGTATCAAACCATGATGTCATACATTGGTGTCATACCATTGGTCTCAAACATTGATGTAATACCATTGATCTTATACATTGGTGCCATACTGTTGGGCTCATAAAATGGTTTCATGCGTTGATGTCATACATGTTTGATTGCACTGCTTGGATCATAATACTGCCAACAAGAAAGAACCTTCATAATGCTTCCTTTTCGAACAAGATTCCTTCTTTTCTATTAAAATGAATATGGGCGGATTCTAGATGTCTATCAACATACCATAAGGCTTGTAGAAGCAGAGTCTGAGAGCCAAAGTGTCGTTCTCGTGTGGTTCCAGTTCATCCTGGGACATATTTGTAGAGGGGATGAAGGCAAATGTTTCCTCAAAGACCTCCGTGCCACCCACTTGCTGACAGGGAACCTCTGACTGGGGCTGGGACAAGTAGAACACTACTACACTACGTTACCATGTTACCATGTTACCATGCCTGAATTTCAGAACGTACAGTGAGATTGGGTTAAACATCACGATCAAGATTATTTCGCGCATAGCTAATTGGAAATTTGAACTTTTTCAGGTCATAAGAAAACGCGGGGCGGTCGAGTAGCCTAGTGGTTAACGCGTTCGCTCGTCACGCAGAAGACCCATGTTCGATTCCCGACATGGGTACAATGTGTGAAGCCCTTTTCTGGTGTCCCCCACCGTGATATTACTGGAATATTGCTAAAAGCGGCGTAAAACCATACTCACTCATTAGGAAACGCATTATTGAACTGTTACAAGAGCTGAGATGGAATGGGGTTTAATATTATTTCACATGTGTGTGTGTGTGTGTGTGTGTGTGTGTGTGTGTGTGTGTGTGTGTCTTATTGTACCAGTCGTTTTATAGTGTTTTCATGCTATAGATGGCATGCTGCAGATACACATTATACTGACATCAAGCTCCCATTCCTTGTTTTATTCCCTAAATGCCGACCGCCAGGCAGGGTAAGAACAAGTATTATTTTTTAACGTCATTTGGTATGACGCGGACAGGGGATCGAAACACCGACCTTCGCTCCTGTAGATTTAACCGCGCTAAATTGAATTTGAAACCGAACGCGTAGGGAGGGGTTTCAAATGTTAAATTTAGTTGGTTGGTTGGTTGTTTAACGCCGCACTCACCAATATTCCAGCTATATGACGGCGGTCTGTAAATATTCGAGTCTGCACCAGACAACCCAGTGATTAATATCATGAGCATCGATCCACGCAATTTGGATCGATGACATGCATCAACCTAGTCAGCGAGCCTGACCACCCGATCCTGTTAGTCGCCTTTTACGACAAGCATAGTCACCTTTTACGGCAAGCATGGGTTGCTGAAGACCTATTCTACCCCGGAATCTTCAAGGGTCTTAAATTTAGTGCAAAACATTATATGAGTATTGTAGTAACCGCAACTTTGCATTTTATAACCTATAATTGTAGAAATTGTTTTAAAATGCCTACCGACAAGGACTAAAAAGGCGTACTTTTCTATTAGTATAAGCTTCCGTGGTAATACGGCCGTCAAATCAGCTGTTTCAGTGGAACTATATTGTGATTTGATAAACTCTGATTCGAGAAGTCTCCACATTCGTGGTAGAATAAATTGTTTTCACAATCATTATCATAAAGCTTAATAATCAGATTTTTATCAACTAAACTGCTAGTTTTCGGAAGCTGCTATTTCACTGTAATATCAAGTAAGAAGTAATTAGAATTTCAATCAATCACAGTTTTAAATTTCCCGAGTTCCATGCCCTCTGATTCGTAATGGAATCGCTAAACGCTTTGAGCTCTTAGGCAATGAAATTCGTGAAGTGCTTGTCAGTTTTTCGAATCACCATCCATCCAACTCAGGCTCATGGACCTGCTTACAGTCGGTCCAAGTTTTGTAAACTGGGCCAGAACAATGCCGATTGACCATAAGCAGGTGCTGCACGAAATTCACGTCGCCTAAACTTGACACGACACATGTCAAGATGCAGTTTTACAGCGGACTCTTTCTGACATATTCATGAAGTAAACCATAAACCAACCAGGTACATTTTGTTTGTTTTTTGTTTAACGACGCACTCAGCAATATTCCAGCTATATGACAGCGGTCTGTAAATATTCGAGTCTGCACCAGACAACCCAGTGATTGATATCATGAGCATCGATCCACGCAATTGGGATCGATGGCATGCATCAACCAAGTCAGCGAGCCTGACCACCCAATCCCGTTAGTCGTCTCTTACGACAAGCAAAGTCGCCTTTTACGGCAAGCATGGGTAGATGAACACCTATTCTACCCTAATCTTCACGGGTCCTCAGCAAATATTCCAGCTATATGATGCTCAATGCTCAGCAATATGCAAGATACGGGTGACCAGTATATAAATAATCGAGTCTGAATCAAACAAGCCAGTGATAAATATTGCAAGCATCGATCCACGTCGTCGGGGTACGATGATCACACGCTATCAACCAGGTCACTCATCCATTTGGTCGCCTTTCACGACCAGCATTGCTTGGGAGCAGTTCTAACCCGGAATCCTTTGCGAGTAATAGCCAGAGACATGGGAATATATTTAAGTGCGCATGCTCCCTGGCCCCAATAAAGTACTCTGGTGCTTCGCTCCCTTAAGCAATCAAATTCGTTATTTGATGGTTAAACTTTCGAATCTACATCTTTGAAACTCCAGCGACGAGCATGTCTACAGTATCAGTAATCAAATTGTTCAACTCTCACATTTAAGGAAGGGGGCACGGGTGGCCCAGTCGTCTAAGGCGCCGCGATTCGCTGTGCAGAATTGCGTCCCTTGGGCACGCCAGAAACCTATGATTGTGGGTTCGAATCCCGGTTCGCCCCGATTATGTTTCTAGGTTTGTCAGCACCATACCCGTGCTCGTGGGTTTCACCGAAGTGGTAAACGTCTGAGACCTGCATCACTTCGGGCTTTCCTCCCACATTAAGCTGACACGCCGTGATATGACTGGAATACTGTTAAAAGAGGCGTTAAACCCAACTCACTCACTCACTCACATTTAAGGAAGTTTCCCATTCCAGTGCTAAACACAAGTTGCTTACCTTGATCAGGTAAAATGGAAAGACGGAAGGCAGGGCCATGGTTGAATTTGCATCTTCATCGGACCGGCAACACAAGATGACGATGACCTCATTTTCATTAAAGGTCATATTTGGTAGTTGACCTTCAATGTCATCATTGATAATCGCATAGTCTCTCAATGTCAAGAAGGATGTGTTGAATTCTGAAAACACAATTTAGTCATATAATGAACATATAATCGACATATTTCTGATATAAGGCGATTGTTCAAAGGGAGTATATATTTAAGTTATAGACGCCAAGTTTACCAAAGAAAATACTTAATCGTTGAGTTTGGGTGATTATGTTCTTTTCCGACGTCATTAATATTACAGCTTACCTATCTAACCGAGTTTGGATTAACTCCTTCATTTACAGCACGCTATTTTTTGTATCGAATGTATAACGTTACACATACGCATACACACCCGTTAGATATTGCATTATGTCGTTCAGATACTTGTTATCAGGCATTATTTTGGTGATTTCCATAAAGCTGATAAGTAAAAACTTACTTTTATTCGTATACGGTAAAAAGTGGCGCAATTGCTTTTTTTAACGTATCACACTGTCTCTTTTTCCAACCTGTTTTACAGTTAATAGAACACCATCAGCTGGGAAATTTAATATGCTACATCACTGCGTAATTTTACAGTCGGAGGCAGACCCAGTGTCGCGAGAGCGCAGTTTCCCCACAACATTCACTTTTCAGATAGCTCGGCATACAGCGGGTTAAGAAGTCCAATGGGCGACAGCATGAGCAACGTCTTACGCTGTTACGCAGGCAACAAGCAACGTCACACAACGCAACCACCCTATCACCCTTAGTCGGCTCTTACAAGCATGATGACCGATGACCTATTCTGCCCTGTGGTCACCATGGGTCTCAATACAGCCAACTGCCTACTTCTTCTTTGTTGACGGTTAGTGACGTTTAAGGAATAAATTAAAACCTTGGTAACTCCAAGTCCTGGTGACTATTAGAACATATGCATAACGTTAGAATCAGACAGAAGTGGAGATGTCGAATATGAAACGGCAGAAAGCGTAAATCGGCGATGCATTGGGGTATTGTTTGTTTTTTAACACCGCAATATTCCTGCTATATGTTTGTAAATAATCGAATCTGGACCAGACCATCCAATGATTGACATCATGAGCATCGATCTCAATTGGAATACGATGACATGCATCAACAAAGTCAGCCGAGCCTGACCACCCGATCCCGTTAGTCGCCTCTTACGACATGCTAAGTCGCCTTTACGGCAAGCATTGGTTGCTTAAGACCTATTCTACCCCGGATCTTCACGGTTTGGAATGCATTGAGGGAATTGGTACACTAACTAATCGCTTATCATGTAAAAACAGATAACACTAAATATACAACACTGGTACACCTTTACCTGATGGGCAGTCAGCGTCACCTTGAAAGATGCAGTAATGACCTTGTGGCCAAATATTCGATGAAGCAGTTCTGTTTTCTGTGACATTTAGAATTTCGTCATCTTCAGTGTCAAGGTCATCGGGTCTCATGCAAAAGTTCAGTTGGATTGTATGCAGATGATATGGTCCAAGCAGATGGAGGCTATCTGACCAATCGTGGTAGGCTGTCCTTGACCCTGTAGAGGTCAAATTGATGTAACCTGTCTGCCATCCATATTCAGATGTTTCAGGACAGCCATAGACGGTAGACAGTAGACCGTAGTTCCCTCTCGGCCACGAGGACACTTTTCTTTCTGGAAGAAGAGTGAGTGACTGAGTTACAATTAAGTCCATCCGTGGTGTATATGACAGAACGTTTAAGCGGAGAGCGGAATGTCTGTGGTTGGACACTGAAAGACGTTAAAAGATGGCCGTTGTTGTTCGCTGCCTGGTGTTCGGCATTAAGGGGATGAAACACACACACGCACGCACGCAGACACACACATACACACACACACGCACGCACGCAGATACACACATACACACACACGCACGCACGCACGCAGACACACACATACACACACACACACACACGTGTATATGTGAAATAATATTAAACCCCATTCCATCTCAGCTCTTGTAACAGTTCAATAATGCGTTTCCTAATGAGTGAGTATGGTTTTACGCCGCTTTTAGCAATATTCCAGTAATATCACGGTGGGGGACACCAGAAATGGGCTTCACACATTGTACCCATGTCGGGAATCGAACCTGGGTCTTCTGCGTGACGAGCGAACGCGTTAACCACTTGGCTACTCGACCGCCCCGCGTTTTCTTATGACCTGAAAAAGTTCAAATTTCCAATCGTGGCTGCGCAAAACGTGAAAATATCAGTTAAGTCACGCGATTAGAAAAAAAACATGTTATGGGACAAGATAAGCCAAATATCCGCCATATGTTCAATGTTTGATTTAACGCCGCTTTGAATTGTTACAGGATTTCAGTTACATCACGGAGTGTCAGCTTATTTTCAGGAAAGCCCGAATTGACGTATGTTTTAGACATTTATGGATTTGGTGAAACCCACGTTACAAATTAGAAATCTAGTTAGGACAAACAGAACGGAAGTCTTTTAGGGCCTGTTCTTTCCTTGAAATCCCAAGATGCTCTGTTGAAATGTCAAGGTACTTAATTGAAATTTCAAGATATATTAGTTGAAATTTATGGAAGCCGTTTGTTTTGGGTTTTTTCTTGGAATTTCAAGATACTAAGTTCAAATTTCAAGATGATATGTTGACATTTTAAGATACTAAGTTGAAATTTCAAGATAATGATCTTGAAAATTCAAAATAATAAGTTGAAATCATAAGATCATAACTTGACATTTCAACTTGAAATCTTAAAATTTCAACATAGCAACTGAAATTTCAACTTTGTATCTTCAAATTTGATAAAGCATTAAAAAAAAATTTTGTTTAAAAAAAAATAAAAATTCAAATTTCAAGAAAAAACAAACAAATCACAAAACAGTGGCACAAAACCTGCCTTAAGGGCATAACTCTACACAGCCAAATGCAGCAGCTTAGACGGTTTGTCCACCTGTACTCCCGAGACTCATGAAACTCGCTAATTAGTAATTATCAGTCCTAATAAATCCATGCTTGGGAAGCAATGCGCATTTGAAACAGTCCATGTGCCTACGGTTATCAATTGAAACAAATTTACATCCCCTTACCAGAAACACGGTCACTCTGAGCAAGGAAGGCCATCACAAGAAGCAGGATCACCCGGAGCGCCATGTTGCAGGACATCGCGAACACTATTGGAACATATCAAGGATACAGATTTGAATTATCCGCTGAACGCTGCTGTGGGATGACATCAGTCGCAGCAGCTGCGAGCACAACCTAACCTTACTGACACGTGTCTGATGTGACAATAGAGAAGACGGAATATTTGTGAGAAACAAATCCACTGTTTGGACTCCCAGTAATCTTATCAGTGTTAATCTTATATTACTGTTATGATAACTAATGCATGCGCCTTGATAAAATAGCGCTCCAACAACGGACGGCAACAATAACACAGGGACAAGAGAAGGTATGACATATGATGCTTACACTCAGGGTATTTATTTTCTGATGGGGCCAATAATAAAAGGTAAATTGATGCCATTGTAAAAAAGAAAAAGAAGTAACTAGGCGATTGAGACGTATAAAAACAGAGCACTTGATCACGATATCGTACTGTTATTGCAAAACTAACTATTTTTAAAGGCAATTTTCGTTGATTAGAAACTTCAGTTCATTTTCGCTATTTGCTCCATCGTGAATATATGGGAATAAGGATGATGAATTGATGCGTTATGCATGACTGTTGTTGCAGCATCCCTGGAAGGGATGCTTTGTTTCTGTAACCCATTGTGACACTAAACATTCATAAAAGAGGTGTTATTATTGGCCTTTGTAGCCTGAGATTTTAAAAGCGAAAATACGCTGATGTGAAAAATGAGCTTTACACGTTGTTATACAGCTGACTACGGCGCGATAAGTCGCGTCATTAGAAACTGTGGCTGTCCTTTTTACTTGGGTTAAAATCAATAATGTCAACAAAATAGAATTCGTATTCCTAATTCTGTTTCCAAATGAATATATAATTCATAAGTAAGAACGATTTACAAGGGATTCCTTTTCAGTTTCCTTAAGATTCGGGGCAGGTTAGTCAGTTTTGCAAGTATAAATAAAGTCGGCCTTAACACTGAGACAGTGTCCGTTACTTGTAGGAAGGCATCGGTTTTAGCAAAACCCATAATCAAATCCAACCATTAAACGTTTTTAAACACTGCGACAATAGAACAGCATAACCATATCCTACCTTTGTTGTTGGGCTGTTGATGACTGATCTGCACTGGTCACTCTGACGGTAGTACTGACAATGTACTTCAAGGACACAACAACCGGAACCGGTGTATGGTACAATAGACACAATTCTACAGCAACAACAACCAGTGCATGTTACAATAGACACAATTCTACAGCAACAACAGTCAGTGTATGGTACAATAGACACAATTCTACAGCAAGAACACCCAGTGCATGGTACAATAGACACAATGCTACAGCAACAACAGCCAATGTATGGTACAATAGACACAATTCTACAGCAACAATAGCCATTGTATGGTACAATAGACATAGATGTACATCCATCATCTGTTTTAAACCATGTGACACAAAGGAATCGTTTCATTATAACAAGTTTAACATTAAGCAAAAAAGCAGAAAAAAGATAAATAAATATATTCACATGCAGAAAACAAAACTTCAAAACAAAGACAAAGATTTACGAGGGAACACCATAGATGACGTCATAGTTAACGACGGGGACTTCAACAGTCAGGAGTTGATACTTCAGCTCAAAACCGCGCCCCTCTTCATCGGAGTTGGAATAAAATTCCACATCAAGCATATGCCAGCTTGAAAGGACATCACTGATTGGTCGTTTGGCCTTACAGAAGCGACCAATCAGATTCTTTACAAGCTCATAGTCGTAATCATAGAGAGCCAAGTAGTCGTTCACACAATAATTATTGTCGTTGCCACCGATGACGTCGAGTTGGAGGAAGAAGATGCGGATGTATTGGCCCCAGGCTCCGCGGATCCCCCAATGGCAAGTGGAGAAGACGCTGTATGTGTTGGGGAAGAAGGGGGAGCTGAGATAGCCACAGCCGGCGGTGCAGGAGTCATCCTTCGAGCAGAAGCCATTACCGCTATAGCCGCAACTGCCACAGTCTGCAATGGTCAAATGCAGGACTTCACATGTTGTATGTGAGTGACTTGGGTTTAACGTCGCTTTTAACAGTATTCCAGTTATATCGCGGCGTGTCGGCTTAATGTGGGAGGAAAGCCCGAAGTGATGCAGGTCACAGACGTTTACCACTTCGGTGAAACCCACGAGCACGGGTATGGTGCTAACAAACCTAGAAACATAATCGGGGCGAACCTGGATTCGTAACCACAATCATAGGTTTCTGGCGTGCCCAAGGGACGCAACTCCGCACAGCGAATCGCGGCGCCTTAGACGACTAGTACTGGGCCCCCCTTGCCCCGCTGACATGTTGTAGATATTGAAATCTTGGTAAAGCTATAGATTGTTAATTGGTCAAGATGACCTTGTCAAGTTTACTTTATGTAAAAATAAACCAGTTCAATGAAGACTGGGGTAAGAAGCAACATGACCACTACCATGTTGGAAATGTTAAAATATATTGATTTTCAAAGATAAGATGTCTAAGCTACATATCAGCAGTTGTATAATTATGTATTGTTTTTTTTTATAATTTAAACAAGTTTTAAATCAAATGATAATTATAAAATAAAACCACGTGGAAGTTTTCTTGGAATGTTGGCTCAGCGCCACATTACAAACAATTTACAGGTGGATCACTTACCACAGAAATATTGTGAATATCCGACCAAACAAAATTTAATATCTGTGACATTATGTCTACATCTGATTATAAATTAATTAAACGTCTAGCTATCTATATCTATCAAGCGATGTCACTTCGTAGTACATTATTTTCACAACAATAATAGCTATGTACATCACGTCTATTGTAGTAGGGCGGTCGGGTAGCCTAGTGGTTAAAGCGTTAGCACGTCACGCCGAAGACCCGGGTTCGAATCCCGACATGGGTACAATGTGTGAAGACCATTTCTGGTGTCCCCCACAGTGATATTGCTGGAATATTGCTAAAAGCGGCGTAAAACCATACTCACTCACTCACTCACTCTATTTTAGTACATATGTAACTATGGGCCGATTGCCTACACTTACGAAATAAAACGAACTGATTGATCGACTAAGCGCCAGTACAGTTCATTTTTTTTGGATATAATATTGCTACCGAAAGATATTTTCAGTTAAAAAAACAACTTACGATAAAATAAACTGAGAGGTTTGGTTTCTTTTGCCACGCCATTTAGATCTTAAACTTTCTTGAAATAAATAAGATATATCGTTGAGCCCATACTGAAACGGTCAAGCTGCATGTTTTTTAAACAATTGAGTTTTAACTCCATGTCCCTCCTATTGACCAATCAGATTTCACCACTCATATCACCTGCAATTGCTTTAAACAAAATGGTGGTGCCCAGTCAAGGCGATCTGATCGACAATCAAATGCAGGATCTATATTGTAATAAAACGGGCCCCTCCTCGCGAAGTTCATCAAATCACTTGAGCACCTTGATTACAAACATAAAAAGATTTGCAAAATATCTGTCGACGCCCAGTTGGCGGTACACATGCTTTGCAAATCCTGCAGTCGACCGAAATCTGCACGTTGAAATCCATGTTGTTTACGAGCCGAGAGTCTAGTTCGTTACGCGATTTTGATTGGACTATACCCGGAATTCCAGCCTTGTTCTGCAAGGGTGGAACTGAGCTTTTATAATCAGTTAACACCGTTTCCTCGGGAAGATGACAAAGACCCTAAACACTAAACTGAACATCCTTACTCTCCAGATTAGTGAGTGAGTGAGTTGGGTTTAACGCCGCTTTTAACATTATTCCAGTTATATCACGGCGTGTCAGCTTAATGTGGGAGGAAAGCCCGAAGTGATGCAGGTCTCAGACGTTTACCACTTCGGTGAAACCCACGAGCACGGGTATGGTGCTGACAAACCTAGAAACATAATCGGGGCGAACCGGGATTCGAACCCACAATCATAGGTTTCTGGCGTGCCCAAGGGACGCAACTCTGCACAGCGAATCGCGGCGCCTTAGACGACTGGGCCACCCGTGTCCCCTCTCCAGATTAGGTTCAGGCCTACATGTACCTGTGAGAGATACGTTGATGAGAAACCCTGATCGGAACGGTGCCTTGGACAGCCTCATGCAGGATCTAAGCACAATGTCAACTTTGTTGCCAAGGGCAATGACCTTTGACCCACGGTAGTCTCTGAAGTTGGACCCCGTTACCATCACGAGTTGTTTAGATGTTGACACATCCGTGACGGTGATACTGTCCTCGCAGTGTGCACTCAGTGCCTTGTAGAAGCCGATCTGTAACCACATTGCATATAATAAATTCAGTAGTGTATGGAGACCACAGACTCGTATATAAGAAATGTAATTAATGTATTATATGTTTGTTGTTTAACTCTACACTCAGCAATATTCTAGTTATATGACGGCGGTCTGAAAACAATCGTCGAGTCTGGACCAGGCCAGTGATTGACATCATGATCATCGATCAACGCAGTTGGGATACGATGACATGCATCAACCAAGTCAGCGAGCCTGACCACCCGATCGGCAATATTGGTGAGTGCGACGTTGAACAACAAACAAACAAACAAACAAAAAAATGTAGAAATTATTGTATCACGACGTGCTAAGATCGTTGCGGACCATCATGCAAGACGAATGTGAGTATCGCCAATATCTTGGACAATCCCAGCAGTGCAAAATAAAAAAACCAGTATATTCTTATGGAGAGGTTGTCGGATCTTTTTCTCTGAGAGAAGCATCGTATCGAAGTAAAGATTTGATTTTAATGACTTTGAGTACTCTTACATTCAGAAGCACTCACCATGCGAGCCGTCTCCATCTGCGGCAGCGCAACATCCAGGAAGTCCAGTCTAATGAAGGCGCCCTCTGGGAAGCGGATCTTCCACACACAGTGCAGCCCTTCCCCATAGTACATAGGGAAGTGGGGGGAAGATACTTCCCTGGGGGTGTCTACCTCTTTATCACAGGCATCAATATCGCGAATATCTGCAACACCCATTAC